CTGATGATGTGGGCATCCGTTGTACGGATGCACGAGTTACCGATCCAATATCCGCCGTGCTTTTTCAATCCACTCTGCACCTGTTCAAAAGCCATACCGGATCTTGGCATAGTGGCATGCTATAACGTGCCGATGCCACGAATACCACAGCCAATTAATTCCTCCAAAATGTTTATGCTACAACTGGAGAATAATGGATTGAGATTTCTGCAACCGCAGCACCTCATGAATACCGGTAAGCAACTGAAGAAGAATGAAATGAAGAGTTACAAGAAAGCTATGTACCAAGATTTCTTTAAAATTTTTTTATTTTCTTAATATTTTCTTATTTTCTTAATTATTTTATTTTCTTAAACTTTTAACTAGATAGTTAATCTTTGAAATATAATATAGATTTCATGAATCACTGAACGAACTTCTTCATTTTTATACCTATATGATTTATTTATATTGTTTTATTTCAATAAATATGTTTTTCTAATTATAAACGTTAAATCTACAAGAATAGCAAGGAATCTATAACGTGACATATCATCGTATATTTTAGGTCTTTATAAACTACAGATTAAACATAATCCTTTGGCGGATATTCCAGACGAAGCCTTTTTAGGTCTTGAAAGATCATTATGGGAACTCGATTTATCCTACAATCAACTAGCAAGTGTACCGAGCAAATCGTTCAGACATTTGCAAAAACTCCGACTTCTTGAACTTACAGGTATTCATTCTTAGTTCTTAAATTAAATGAATGATCTAGCAATTCTTACAAAAGATTTTCACTGATATTTATAATGCATAAGTTTCTAAATGTAATATCGTATTAAAATATAGCTAATATTAATAATGATTTGATATAATACAATTTTCTTTCTTCTAATTAAACATTATAAAATTTAAAAATAAAAATATGATAGTATAAAAGAAAACTTCTTGACATACAAGTCTAAATAACTTTACATAATATTTGCTAAGATTTATTATAGATTAATAAACGATGCAGAATACACAGAACAGAACCGTTACCAATACCTAATTATACAATAGTATAAAGAATTTTACAGACATAAAATCTCATACGGAGAAATTTGAAACACGTAACAATAATCTGGCATTATCAGATGTACGCATTTAATGTAGGTAACAAGATATCTCGCATCACGGCGGAAAATTGGAGGGGTCTGGAGAATTCGCTGCAAACTCTACGTCTAGGTCGAAACGCAATCGAGAAGTTACCAGCTGATGCCTTCGCCGGTCTCATATACTTGGAGACCCTTGATCTTCGAGAGAACAGCTTGAGGGAGATCGATCCATCGGTATTTAGAGACGGAATGGCTCATCTGACACATCTCTATTTGAATGACAATCAGTTTACGTACGTGCCGTACTCCCAACTATCTCAACTGAAGCGTATGAAAGTCCTCGATCTCAGCTACAATAGGATATCGAAGATGCTTCAGATGCAACAAGAACCGGAGATCAGGGGCATACAGATGTCCCTGGACGTATTACGGCTGGACTACAATCAGATCGAGATTCTTACGTCCGGTGACTTTCAGCACTTTTCTAAAGTCAATCGCACATACCTCAGCGGCAATCCTTTGATGATAATTGAGGTACGATTAAATTATAAACCCTATAAATTAATGTAACTCATATTATACAGTCCAAAATTGAGATAAAGAATGTTTCTCGAGAAATGAAAAAAAAATTAAGATGAAAAATCGTTGTAATTAATATTAAATAATGACAATTGATAGTAACATATATAGTGAATTTCTATTTAAAGGAGGGCACATTCCGAGATTCACGCATTCGCGAGCTATATTTTAGCGACTGCGATTTATTAGAGATCAACTCAGCCAATCTTGCCGGTTTGGAGTTGACACTCGAGTTATTGGATGTCTCGGGAAACAACATAACTACGCTTTCCAACCGATTGTTCCAAGAGTTCGACATCCTGCATACGCTCATTTTCCGTGAGAATCGTATCGGCACATTTTCACCAAGTAAATAATCTCGCATAAATACTATTCACGCGATGTAGATATGAAACAAACATTATTGTGCAACATTTCAGCCGAGGTTTTCAACGGTTTTCAATATTCCTTGTACAACTTGGACCTCAGCGGAAAGCAGAACGGCATCATCTCTCTTCAAGATCTACGACAGATGAGAAATCTGCGTTTTCTCTCAATCTCTCGGATGCCGCAGGCATCCTTATCAGCGAATGATTTTCTGGAGTTCGGTATGGACATCAAAGAATTGCAAATAATCCACAGTAATCTCAACACCATCAAAGGCCATGCTTTTATGCATGTTCGTGGAATTAAATACCTTGACTTTTCTGAAAATTCAATATCAACGATAGACGACGAAGCTTTTTCAGAGGTAAACTCTTACATTTAAACTTCTTGCTTCATAGAATTTGTATTTTATATAATTTAGAATAATAATATTACATCATATATATATATATATATATATATATATATATATATATATAACAAAAATTTAATATAAAATTTATAAGATTAAATATGAAATAAGAAAATTATGCATAGAATATATAAATACACCACTTTACAGTTTTTTCGAATTCCTCGCGTAGGTAGGCCATTCCTTGTTGACGTTAAGAATGTCCCATAGTCTGTCTTCATCGATTTCCGAGATACCTAATCGGCCGTTGAAATCGTTGACGAATCTACAACATCTCGACTTTAGCAACAACAAGATCCATTCCTTACCAGCCACATCGTTTCACTTTCTGAAGAGGATCAAGCGCATTGAATTGCAAGATAACGAAATCGATAATATACCTAAGGGTACTTTTCAGGTAAATTGATTGATTTAACAACACAATGTCATCTATATGATGAAGAAATCATTTTCGATTCATAGGGTGATATCCACTCGACACTGGAAGAGATTAACTTTGCGTTCAATCAAGTGAAAAGTCTACAAACCCATACATTCGTCGATCTGTCGGCCTTAATGACGATCAATCTAGAAGATAACGCCATCGATAGAATCGAGAGACGGGCTTTCATGAATATGAATCGACTTAAATACATCAACTTGCGTGGTAACAAGATTAGGGACATGATCGACGAAGCCTTCCAGGTAATTTAATATATGAATATGTGTGAAAATAGAGAGAGATATTATATATAGAGATATTATATATAGAGCAGGATATTTATAAACATACTCCTAGCCACAAATTCTATGATGAATCTAAGTTGATTGTTTCTTGAGAAAAATTTTGCGGTAAAAAAGTATTACTTATATGTAATGCATATTTCAATAATCAACTATTTATCTATCAACCATATCCTTGAAAATTATTGTTAAATCCAAGCTAATTAAAATTAATTGAAAATAAAAATTTTGCTACTTGATTAAATCGGAAATTTTGCAAGTCTGATAATTTGCAATATTAAATGAGAATAATTCTCTACGAATATTAATGAATTAATTGAAATTCATGTGAAAACATTACGATATTTTAGAATCTACCGGATCTTGAATTTCTCGATCTCGCATATAACAATCTCTACAAATTCGATTTTGCCTCCTTCGATCAAGTGGGTACGTTATCGTCGTTCAAAGTTAACATTAGTCACAACGAGATTCCGAGATTGTGGATGAACAGCACTACTTTTACAACTACCCCTGCCAGTGAGTTCACTCTCGATTAAAAAAAAGAAAAAAAGCGATTTATCGGATGTAAATATTTCAAATAAAATATTAATTACAAAAAAATATTAATAGTACCATATTAATTTTTATTTTTATTTAAAAATGATGAATAAGAAATAAAATTTTAATTATCTTATTCTTTTTTTAGTTGGAGGTACTGTACAATCGAACATTAAAGTTCTGGATTTAAGTTATAATAATATTTCCGATATCATGAAGTATTATTTTAAGCCGGTCGAGTATTCGCTCACTCATCTGTATCTATCGAACAATGAACTGAAGAATATTACTCAGGGTGTCTTCGGCAACATGCCGCATTTGCAGTGGCTTGATTTAAGACACAACGAACTGAAGGAAATGGACTTCGATTGCTTCAAGAATACGAGAGACTTACAAGTATTGCTTCTTTCGTGGAACGAAATTATGGATATCCCGGCGGAGGCTCTAAGACCGCTGAAAAAACTCCGCCTCGTGGACTTGTCTCATAACAAGCTGAGAACGCTATCGGATAACATGTTCATCGATTCTAACATAGAAAGTCTCGATCTTTCGCACAATCAATTCACGAGACTGCCTATCAAAAGTATGTCATTGACTTCCGCCGCAAGCTTAGCAAACTTGGATATGTCTTGGAACATTTTATCAGGGATTCATAGCACCGATACAATATTCAGACTCAAAGTAAATCTGATTCAATTCATACTTTAAAATAATCTTCTCTCTAACATTATTTTTTTCAACTATCAATTACCTCGTAGTTTAATCGTATGTTGAATAAATAATATTTAAATTAAATTATGTACTATATTTATATATATATTTTTTAATAGAATCTTGTATGGTTGGATCTGTCGTACAATCGACTTGTTAGATTAGATGATGGCGTATTTTCTGATCTACCTCATCTGGCTCATCTCGATTTAAGCCACAACAAGCAACTTATTTTGGAAAGTCGCGGAAGAACATTCTACGGTTTGGAAAATACGCTTTTATACCTTAGTCTAAGTAACATCTCCCTTTTGAGTGTAAGTATTTTATCAATATAAAAATATAAATATGGAATGGCGTGTAATTAGTAACATAGGTTCCAGAGTTACCTCTACGACGACTGCAAACTTTATATTTGGCACATAATGAACTAGCATCAATACCAGCGGAAATGTCGTCAAATCTGACATCTCTCCACTATTTAGATTTAAGTGTCAATGATTTGACAGTGGTGCCATTAATCACTCATTCATTGCCAGAATTAAAAACCTTCAATTTAGCAGATAATCCTATTACTGCCATCACAAATACGAGTTTCCTAGGCGTGGCCGACAGTCTTGAAGAGCTAGATATACGAAGGCTCACTCTGTCAATCTTTGAGGTAAGCATTTGTTTTCCTAACAAATTTTATCATTTCACGAGCATGGAACTGTAATCGATTTTTGCAGGCAGGTGCACTCTGCAAAGCTAGCAAGCTCCGTAAATTGCACATCACTGCATATAACGGTGTGAAAAACTTTAACTTTCCCGATATTCTACAGTACAATGATGGTCTAAAGCATTTACTTATTGATGTAAGTAGTCGAATATAAATATCACATGATTCGAAGATTTACTGAATTCACCAACATATTTCTGCAGGTTCAGAATGACACTGATCTAGAAAAGGAAATGAGAGGGAAATTACCTTATAAATTGTATAATATTACACTGACTGGTAGAGCTTTAAAGAATATACATTCAGAAATATTGCGTGTAAGTTCTTGTCCTCTAATTTATCTCGAAACAATTTATAAAATTTAATAAATTTTAAACGTTTTTCTGAACCAGAATAAAATCAATTATGTATGCAACTATGTTCAATTAGGCTCAACTTTTATAAAAACTTATTCATAATAAAATTATGTATGTATAATACATAAATATATCACATATTATATTACAAACTTAGAAAAATTTCAGAGATAGTAATGATAAACTTTACATAAATTTTATGTTGTTAGAAATTTTTATGAATAATGTTGGATGTTCGAGATACATTAAGCGATTTTTTAGGGCATGCGAAATCCTCGTCTTCATTTTGGCTTGTACAACACCAGCGTGGCGATCGTACCACGGGAAATGTTCAACAACGCGGAACGAGTGCGCAACATAACTGTGGAAATTCGCGAAAGTGACACTCGAACGTTACACAATCCATCGTCCGCTTATAAGCCAGGAGTGCCGGGGGAGCGATTCACTATGAAGCTCCGATTAGCAGGCAGCTATCTCAATTGTGATTGCGATATCGGGTATGATCGACATAGTTAAACGCTAATAATAATATAAATTGAAACATTATAAAAATGAATTAATCTGTATTGAAGCTGATGAGAAATAAACATTTTCTTTTTTCTTTTATACAGATGGATCGAGATATGGCAGAGGAAACACAGACAATATCAAGAAGATCGATGTACTTCTTATGACGAATTCAAGAATTTCGAGCACGAAGAAGGGGACGAATTCAATTGTTGGGACAACGGCTGGGACGACGATCTCCGTGAGACGTTCTGTTTGAACAAGAACAATGTATCGTTGTCGAACACATTGAAAATAGAATTGGAATGTGGATGGAGTGCAGCGAGTTACACTCTTGTACTAGACATTTTTGTTTTTCTGTTCTTTTCGATCGTTTTGGCTGTCGTTTATTAGGTATCTCATTCATGTTGCTTTTTACTGGATATTTTCTCGAATTGAAATTTGCGAAAGGAATGTTATGGTTATTGTAAAAGATCGAGTCGCGCTATGCAAGCTCGTATATAGTACTTGTACGAAGCAAAACTAATTTGAAACTGAAGAACTTTTGTAAGGATAGCACATCATGGTTTTATTCACGTTTCATTAAAATCACAATTTAATCGTGCATCACGAATTTAGATACGATACTGACTGCCATTTGTACAATCGGTAAAACGATGAAGCCGAGTATAAATATAAGGCAAATGTACACGCTGAGCAATTGCATAGCGAGTATCGCGAACTTCACTATTACTTGCTGAATATTCTTAGTTCTGTGTATGTCGATTACTTTGTCCAACACAAATCTTAATATGAAGGAAAACATCTGAAATTTATATTTCAGGATTTCAATCCTTAGTTAAGCTAGGATATATAGAATCTTCAGTTAAGCTAGAATATATAGAAATACTTGTATAATTACCTGAATAATGGGAACAATGTTAATAATTACATATATCAATGCCCACAGAGATCGTGCCGCAGCCTGAGCCATTACTATGATCAAGGCTGCAAAGGAATATTCAGTATGCGGTGTACCGCAAGATTCTTGACAATTTGCTAAATATTCTTGACAATTGGAAAGAATACTTTGTTTAGTTCTTCCTTCTTGAGGTTCATCTTTAAGAATGTTCTCTATAATATTGCAACAAATGATTTAACTTAACTTTAAGTTTAGTTTTTTTAATTTAATATTTCTTGTAAAAAATATGATTCTAGTCATATACATCAAGTTATATTAAAAAAGTTCTTTTAATATATATTTAATTTATATCAATTTAAATGAATACCATTAATATATATTTTGATTATATTTGTTTACTGCAGAGGAATCAATATGTAAAATTTTTTCATCGAATTGAATAAATTTTACATGAGATTTAATTGTTAATACTGAAGATTAGAAGATTAATTGATTATTTAAGACTAATCGTATTAAAATCTTATAAACAATAATGTGAACAATTAGAGTATTTTATTTAGTAGTATTTGTATTAATTAGTAATAGTGAATGTTTACTTGAAGCGTGATGGGATTTTTCATAATGCATAGGATTATTAATAGAAATGCTGTACGGATTTTTATATTTCCACGAGACATGTTCAAATTGTCGAAACGTGTTACTTTCAGACATCGATGTATCATATTTCTCGGCACTCTGGGTCTCACTTGACGTGCTCGAAAATTTTTCCGTCTTGATTGCACTGATTGATCGAGCCAAATCTGACAAATCCGTTTGACTCATTACATCTTTATCCTCTCTTTTAGAAAACTCGTCCACCTAATATTAAAAACGCTTCAATGCTATAATTTTCTGAATCTGTTATTTTTTCGTTCTTTGCTTTACATTTCTGTACGACTTGTTTGCTCGTTGAAATCGTTCGTGATGCTTGACAGGATTAATGCTTAATTTAGATCTAACAATTTTGTTGATTCGCTTTTCCTCGACGTACATACTGACGAAATTTACAGAGAAATTGTTTATACTATTTAAATTTGCATATGGGAAGATCACATATCTTGTACAGCGAGCTGACTTTTATCTATAAAAAAATGATTAAACATTCATTTTCGTAAATCTTGAAATACACATAACGCGATCATGCAAGAAATGTGAAGTTATCTTTTTAAATGTATTAAAAACAATTAAATATAATAGTCTTGGACGAGTTTATATCTAATTTAAATATTTTCCTAATCTTATATATTGTCTCTCCGATTTTTTTTTAAATTATGAAAATTGTTTTCATATCTTCAGAAACGTCAACCTTTCTTGTCCCGCCAAAATAAATGCGTGATACATTCGGCAATTTGATAGGTTTTAGGCTAAAACCGGATCTATATTAGTCGTATCGTAATGTCGCAAGTCGTAATGCGAGGTCTAAAATGCGAGTCTCAGGCTGAGACTCTCAGCGTCGCAAAGCAGTTATAACATTCCTTGTTTCCAGTCGTAGTCGCAGTCTCTCGAGTTGGTTCAATTCCAACGACGACGACCACAATATGTCGCTGCGACGGATAAGAAGTGAGCATTGTTGCGGGAAAATAAAAGATTGCAACCTACTGAATGACTCTATGATTCGCATTGTCGACTCCGCATAAGTCATAGACAAATTGACCAACCATAGTCGATTATTTCAAAAATAATCAACCATGATTGGTCAATTTGACTTACGACTTGCGACGTTACGATAGGACCAATGTAGATCCGGCTTTAAGGTGATATCTCATTTATCGTACGATAAAGCTTTGAAGCGTATAGATGCGGCCTCATTGACGCTAAAAAGTAGCGTCAACCATTGGTTGAACAATGAAGCAACTATACTTACCTCCTTGTTCAACCAATGATTGACGCTACTTTTTAGCGTCAATGAGGCCGTACCTTTATAGGTGTAATTTCATTGACGCTAAAAAGTAGCGTCAACCATTGGTTGAACAATGAAGCTACTACTTACTTCTTTGTTCAACCAATGGTTGACGCTACTTTTTAGCATCAATGAAAAGGCCGCTTATTAATTGGCTGCTGTTGCAAGAAACGGAATCCTAGAGACTTTCTCGATGGCCAATCAGCGCATTCGAAACTCAATGTAATCTACTCAAATGTAGTCTCATCTTAAGAATAGTATTTTCATGTTTATGAGAAGACAGAGGTTATGCGGTATAAATCCGTGTGAAATTTTTGTATCCTTTAAAGCATACTTTAAAAATAATAATCAAGATGGTAAGTGACAAAAATATTCATTATTAAGATAACTTTAATTCAACAATCTTTTCGATTCAATATATTTCTATAATTTTTTATAGTTTGGACGAAAGTCCATGACAAATGTAAATTAGATGTTTTGATAAAGAGCTAAAATGATTAAATATATATAAAAAAACATATTTATAATATAAATCTTTTTTATTTTTAAAAAAATAAAAATAAAAATATTTAGAGTTTGTTCACCTAGGAAAGATTGGTGCACATATTAGAATAAAATAATTGAAAACAATTTTTGTTTTGCTTAAGCACAGCTATAAAAATCAAATGTTTTATGACAAAATATTTCTTATTTTTCTATTTTGAACAATTCCACAATACATTGTCAAAATTTATTTAGTTTAAGATATGAGTAACACCAAGTATTTTCATGAATCATTTAAGCTTATAAAAATGACTATAAATAATTCATTAAAAATTATTTATACATTTCTAATCCTTTTGTACATGTAAAGTTATTAAAATATAAAATATATATTTTTTATTTCACAATTTTTTTATTCACTATTTTTCAGACGATCGGGAAGAACAACAAGATGTTACAGCATATCAACTATAGAGTCAGAATTATCTTGCAAGACTCTAGAACATTTATTGGCACTTTTAAGGCTTTTGATAAGCATATGAACCTCATACTTGGTGACTGTGAAGAATTCCGTAAAATTAAGCCAAAGAATACCAAGCAGCCTGAAAGAGAAGAAAAGCGTGTATTGGGATTTGTACTTTTACGTGGCGAGAATATAGTATCACTAACTGTGGAAGGTCCGCCACCTCCTGAAGAAGGATTGCCTAGAGTACCGATTCCTGGAGCAGCACCAGGACCAGGCATGGCTCGTGCCGCAGGCAGAGGTATGCCAGCAAACGTCGCAGGAGTACCGGCTGGACTTCAAGGTCCTGTCAGGGGCGTTGGAGGACCATCTCAACAGATCATGACGCCTGGCAGCAGAGGCCAAGTTTCGGCACCACCTCAAATACATCCTGGTGGTCCACCACGTATGCCAGTCGGTGGACCGCCACCAGGGATGATGGGACCACCTGCTGGAATGATGGGTAAGAATTGTTTCTTTGATCAGATTCTTTTGAGGGAGAAGGAAAAAATGGTTTTTCTTTTCTATTCTCTACCTTTTTTGAAATAAAAATTTAAGAAAGATGCCTCTTTTGTCACACAAATATCTTTTCCTCCTTTTAAGAATAATTTTGTATTAATAATACCATTTTACATGTTTTGATTATAAAAAATCTATCAAATTATATTACATAATTACAGAAATGATATATTATGAAACATTTCTCCATTTAATAGGTATGCCACCTGGAATGCCACCCATAGGACGTGGTGGTCCTCCGATGGGACCACCTGGCATGAGGGGCCCACCTCCTGGATTGATGCGTGGTGGTCCTCCTCCTCGTCCATACTAATAAATATTAAGATATCTTATGACAATTAGGGACAATAAAACATTCTTTAATAATATTGATATATTCCCTAGATATCCCCTGATATATACCCTAGTCTTTGCATAACTTTTTTCAATGATGTGAATGTGTATCAATTTTATTAAAATTTGCACAAATGAAGAAGGCTTGTTCGATAGATTTTCTATATCCCTGAAGCAAGTTTTTGTATTATAATGTATTTGTCTTGGGGATAATTTTCTTTGATAATGTTAAATGATAAAGTATATACATAAAAAAATTATTTTTAATAATTATTAAATATTTTTAAAGAATTTAAGGAACGACCAATTAATTTATGTTTGAATATCTTTATTTTTTTTTATAATTAGCTATAAATATCATTTGTGTTATACACCATTTGCATTGGTGATATTATATACAGAATGTCTCAGATCTATCGTTTCACAATTTTTGTCTAAATTTGATTGAGTATTATATATACATGTATACTTTTCATAATTTTTTAATTAATCAGTATATTAATATTTTTAAGATTGAATATCGTTAAGAAGGCCTTCAAAAGTTAAAATAAAAGATCCACTTTAACTGAGAGTAATTTACTAAGATCATTTGTAAAATAGATACGAAAAATCTAAGACACTCGGTACTTGCAGAATATATGATCAGTTAAGGAAATCTAATGTCTCATTTATTTGTGAGAATTATAATTGCACAGATTAACTGTTTGTAAATTTGTACGATATAGGCGAAAATATCTTTGCAACTTCCAGCAGAAAATTTGCATAAAATATAATTAAAAAATTCGATTAACAGAGTACCGCGCGATATTGCGAATTGAAGGGCAGTGTCATTTTGCTTATGAAAAATATAGTAGACTCTTCCTGTTAAAAATTGCACTTTTAGTGAAGAACAAACTATCGAATTGTTTTAAGCAAGTTTTGTTAAAACATTGCAGAGTAGTATATCTTTCTCTCTATTGATAAAAATAACTAAAGCTATTGTCGAATTTTAATTAATATTCACACTTTATTAATGATGGCGAGATGAAAGATAATTCTTATACCCATCCTTAAATAAACGTCTTCTCTTCAAGTAATTCGAAAGTATGTCGATGTATTTACAAAATATTTACAACGCCGCTGCAACAGTAGCATGAGCAAGTGACAGATTGACAGAACTAAATTTCTAGTACTTAATGCTATATCACATTTACAGAAACGCGTTTAGTCTTATATATTTATGGACAAAAGTACAAATTTTCGAATGTGCGCATGCAATTTGACACATCCATTTACTTCTTCGTTTACTATATAGGATGTAAAATTTATATCGTTGACTTTTATTTCGATAATTTTTAAAACTAGATAGAATTATATTTTCTGCATACACGGTGGAAATATGAATTTTTAATTCAAGAATCGCGTTTAATATTAAATTACATAGCTGCCCTATATATTTACGAACACATTCAAGGTAAAAAAAATTAATAACAATTAGACAATAGCACTAAATGCACCGGGAATTCCAACTCACAACACTTTAAACTCTTTTAACAGGAAATAGAGTCATAATAATGGAATTAAAAATTAAAAAAGTAATTTACATTGCTAGTGGAATTATAAAAAAGTGAATGAATATATAACATGCATGTCATGGCTGTTTACAAAAGTATAAATTAACTGCAGATCATGATTTGGCACTTACATACAGTACTAATATTAAATCAGTATGCTTGAATAGAATGTTGGAAGTCATTGAGTGTTGGAATCTCATTTTTATAATTAAACCGAGCCTCAGTCATGTTCTATACAAAATAACTGAAGTCCATTGATGAATTGATCGAACTTTCGATTCCATTTAAATCATCCAACAAGCGAACATAGGCATATATATATGTAAAAATCTCGTTAAAATAGGCATGAACACATACATACATATGTACATACGTGTGTGTATGTGTATATAAAACATACATATTAATTAGACATATCAGTACGCTTTCAATACAAAAGTATTATCAGCCTTACTGTCGATTACGACACAGCAACGATTACGACACGTGTAACATTGAAACTCCTTTAGTCGTTACGAGTCATCGTGCTCGTCCAATTGATTTATAGTCGCCATCGATCTTGAATCTTCTAAAACACAATTCTTGTAATTGTCTTCTTGTAATATATATTTTAAGTGTTGTGGGTTTGTGAGGTCTATCATATCGCCAGTTATTTCCACATCCTCGTCAGAATTTTCTATCCGAATATCGTTACTAGCATCATCTGCACAGGATAATATGTTAAACATAACGTTATTATCGAATATATATTATGAAGTTAAATAATTTTAAAATATTGAAAACTCGAATAAATAAAGAATGATTTCACAATTTCAATTTTAACAACATTCTCATTTGTATTAAAATAAAGAAAAGAAAAATGAAAATTATATGAGATATTCTATATTTTATTTATTTGTTGCATAATATACCTGGTATATTGGCGATCTGTTTCGGCCTGATAAATATTTCCTTGTTTCCCTGCAGTTTCGAGGAATCCAACGATTTTATTGCCTGACAATTCATGCTTGCATCTTTATTCCTTCTATAAGAGAAAGATACACATCATTAATTCATCAAAATACTTTCAAGGTATGTATTCAACAAATTTATTAGTTGTCACATCTATTTGATATTATTATTATTCTGAACTGACTTATGTTGTTTTTCCTCCGTAGTTGATGTAATCGCGGAATCTGTCTTCAGAGGCGAATCTCGGTCAATCGTATTTGCAACATTACTACATTCCTTTAACTGCACAGTATTCATGTTTTGTATCACAGTCTTATGTTGCACGTGTAGTTTTGCAGCTCTTTCCAAGAACTGAAAGCTTGAAAAAAGCTTGTTCTTGTTAGAATCATGTCGTAAATTTGCGGATACATCCACTACCTGTTTAAACTGTAAAACACACTTTTAAGTATTAAGTATTTTTAAGTATTAAGTTTTAAGTATTAAGAAAACAAATCGAGTGATAAAAGATGCAACTTACACTTATATTTTCAAGTTTATAGGCGGATTCTGCATTCTGTGACGAGTTTATAATCGGCAGCACAGTCTTCGTTTGATCTCCATTGTTTAGAGAAATATGATGGGATTGAACACTAATCGAGTTTGCATTATTATGTTGGCTTGTAACGCACAAATTCTTTCCACCCATTATTACCTTTCCTAGCACTTCCTGAAACATTTAATAGATGTACAATAATATCTCTATATTTGATTTTTCTTTTCGCTTATCGATTATTCCATATAAAATCGATTTAGAATACCTTGCCTGCATGTGATAATGTTACGCCTTGTGCGTGACCCTTCTGAATGACAATCACATTAGTCTTAGCGTTTAATTTATTGTTTGGATAATGAGACATATTTACAATTTTCTTAGAATTTATTGTAACACCCTAAAAAAAAATAGTTATATATTAATAAAATATTTTTCGTATGTTTTCGTAATTTTTTTCTGTGATAGAATACCATATGTGATAGAATAACACATTAGATTTTAAAAATACAAATATTAAATGAATAAAATTAATTACCGTTTTGGCAGTGGATTGATGATTGATCGCAATTTGTTCCGGCGGCAGTTTCTTACACATTAATGTTGTAGAAGTTTGCTTAACTTGAGGTGGTCCAGGACCACTTGATACTGCTACTACTGTAGTGTTAGGATACACTACGGGTGTAATTTGAACTTGAGAGTCTAAAAATGCATTTTTATACATTTGTTATTAATTTATAATTATATAATTAACACACATACGCAACAAACAAACACACACACACACACACATATATATATAATAAAATAAAATAAAATAAGGTGATCTATTTTTCCAAAAATTTTCACCGCGAGCGTTTAGCAATAAAACAAATATCTATAATGCTTACTTGGTACTAGAGCTTCATGTATGATTGACGCCATAAGTCTTTTTTTGCATGAATTCGAACTAGTGTTATCAGATCTCTCAGAGGTATTATTCGATGTATTATCTGTATGAATAAACAACAAAGTTTATCATTTGAAATTACGTAAAAATCGATTATATAACGTTAAATGATTATAAAATCTGTTTTGATGCAATAGCATACTTATGTTATCTTCATGTTGTAAATCTTTACTTTCCGAATGCACTTTGTTTAGCGGCGTGCTCAATGCAATACCGCTCGAAACCGCTGGCACTACTTTTGTACTAACTTTATTTTGCATAGTATTAGTTAACATTTTGAGATTACTCCAATCTGTATTTGTGCACATAGAGATTTCTGAAGTAACTACATGTTTATTTAACGAAACCGTTGTCCGAGTAATCGAATCTTCCGATATTATATCCTTAGTATCCATAGTATCTGGATTTATCACAAAAAATAATCATATAAAAGATATATTAAAATATTGGAAATTTTTGTATTAGAAAAGAGTATTTCTAAACTTATAAAATTTATATAGTCAATTTTTTCTAATCTAAGATCATATATTTCCACTATTCTAAAATTTCGTCTTTATTCTTATTTTGATTCTAATGTTACATACATAAAATAGAAATCTTATTATGTATTCTTTCATTTACTTTCTCATTTTGACATGATTATATGATCATATAATAAATATGACTAATGGAAGTGCAGCACAAAAAAATTTCTATTTTAGGGAATTCCAACTACGTTGACATATAGAAAAGCTTAAAAATTCTTAGAATATAAATTTTTTTTTTAATTTATCGCTATTCAAGGTTATATAATAATACTGATTTATTCCTTAGAGAATTTTAGTATTAAATGTCTATTCATTTAAAGAATAAGATTTATAAAATAATAAAAAAAAGAAATACCTGAATTCTCATCATTCGGTTTAAGTGAAATTACTCCAGCATATTCAGTATGTGGTATTGCTTGTATTAATTGCTTATGAACAGTTTGTAATGTGTGCTTATCTTCAGATATACACAAAGTGTTGTTTAGTGGTGCAGATATCACTTGAATCTTATTTGGTGGCCCTATTGATAACAGGGGTGATAATTTGCGTTTTTCAGGTTTTTTTGATACTTTGGGTTTTTCAATAACTTTATCTATCATATCTTTATCATCTGTTTCCTCTTCTTCAGCCAAATTTGAATTCTAAAAGTAAATACAACTTATATTATCAATAGTTATAAAAATGTGATATAAAACATAACTCACAAATTTATTAAAACAAAAAATTGCAATTAATAAACTTATAATATTTTTATATACTTCATGTAAAATCTCGCTGTTATTGCAATCATTTTCCAAATTGCATAATTTTGTATCAAGTAAGTCTTTTTCTATTTTCACTTCAGGTTGAGATTCAGTTTCAATAGCTGTTAACACAAATATATATGTATATGTAAAAAAAAATATATGTATCATGTGTATATAAATACTTGAATTATATAATTTTAAAAAATCATAAAATATAAACCTATCGAGTTCTCAGAAGCAACTTGTGCAGGTTTTTTCTCATTTGCTGCTGCAGTTGCAAGAGATAAGCTATTCGCTAACGTCGTGAAGACGGACCGCGCTTTTAATCTTGGCAAAAGAGGAATAGTTCGGCGACCTTCAATAGTCCAATCTGTACCAGTATTTGGACCATTAAGTCTGCATTATAACAATTTCATATTAGATAAATTACTATGTTCTATAATAATAAATTTATCAATTTGTCATTATAACAAACTTATCCTATAAGATACTTTTATTGTGTAAGATAGAATATATATATATATATATATATATATATATGTATATTATATTTTTATTTATGTCATATAATTAATTTTTTTCTCTTATTCTTCTGCATCTCAAATTTATTGAACAGAATACATACTGTTCTGCAATTGATGCAAGCTTTTCGTCATTTACAGCTCTTCGTATTTCAGCACGATGTCTTTCATTAGAAATATGTAACACTTTAGCAAGTTCTTGCAATAATTTCTGTTTCTCATTGGTGAAAGGACCTTGAGCACGTAGGACAGAGACCATACTTCCATAAGCATCTAATTCTGCAAAGCACAAAAAACATACATTCATCAAAAAATATAGTATATAAAATGGTATATAAAATAAAACTTATATAATTATAATATTATAAGTATATTACTAAAATCATCCAGGTTAATTAAAACTAAAATCTCTGTTAAAAAGAATAATTAAAAAGAACAAATAATATTTTAATATCTATGATACTTGAAATCCAATTTAATTAATTTTATATTGCAATTTATATGCAAAAGATATTTCATATATTATAAACTATTGTATATTTTATGAGTATCTCTCTTTTTCTGTAATAAATTTATCTCTAAAATACATATTTTATATATATAAATATAAGTATATATATATAATTTTTTTTTATTATACTAGATATACTATGGATATATTATAGATATTTTATAATTTTATAATTTCTATTTTACATATTTTAATTTCTTCTATATATATAAAATGTATATATTCATAATATATTTTCTTGAAAAATATATTTTTTCTTTATACCTACGTTACCACATCTTTTTATGTGCGTATGAAATAAGTATCAAGTATATCAGTCTTAAAAAATGGACTGAATATCATTATTCCTACTTACTGTTAAATGCTGCTGCCTAATTACCTGTATCCATATGCAATACAAAGGTCGTTTTCTACTAACGCGAAGTAAGAAACGTGGCGTTTAGAGTCTAAATATGCCAGAAGAATACAAAAGAGACGTTGGACTTACACATTTTTTTTAGCATCATATTTAACATTAAATCCGACCGTCCACGTCTTTGAGCTTTAGCCGTCTAATAAAAAACGAAAATCATACACGTATATTAATCTGTGACGTGAATACTTCGGCGCATTTAGCAACAAGACGAAAATTCGCTACACTTTCATACCAAAAAAAATCCATTGCATTATTAAGTGCAGATTTTCGACTTCCTCAAAATCAACTCGTCGCTCTGCAAGAAGAAACGCGCACGATGCAGATGTTACAATCCCTGCTACATCTCGTCGTCTTGACGTCGCGAAAGGAGAAGACGATGGTACGCGACGTCCTCGCATTTGCGATAGAATTTTTACATCGTAATAAAAAATCAGGTCTCGGACTCGAGAAGCGGCATCGACGGACTCATGGCACGCTAACGCAAAGCGATTTTCCTCAGGTCACATAACCTTACCGAGGCATCTTAAGCACTTCCTGCATTCATCCCGAGTCATCTCCGATCGCATCGGCCACATGATTCCACGTTTCTTCCACAACCGGGTCGGGATCACTCGGACAGAACGACCGAATCGGCGTGCGTCTCCCGCATTTTCGTAACCCCCGTTGACAGTCGAGCCTGCAGTTGACGATGAAGTAACTTCATTGAAGTTATCGCGCTAGTACTATTTTATCATGTTGTCATTATTGTCGTTGCCGCCAGAGGATTTTATCGTCTCGATGTTGGCAGCTCGATTGCGCGCCAAAATGACGCAGTCACGGTCTCTGGAAACTTGGCACTTCCCCTTCCGTAAGAAATACTTACATGTTTATTTATTTATTATGTCTCTGTATTTTTAGATAATTGTGAATTTTTATTTAATTAAATTTTATACAGCAAGAGCGAGATATGTACATTCACATCTGAGGTTCCCCCGAGGTAAAAAAATGTTTGAACATACCACGTTACATCTTGATATGTTTGCATATCGAAGGACTCAGTAGCGAAAATCGAGTTTGTGATATTGTGAGCAAGGATATTTTTATATTTTCTTTTTTTTTTGCGAAAATTTGAAATTAATATATTTTATTTATTCCTGTCTCGATATTTTACTCTTTTATTCATCATATCAAACTTTTATCGTTGAAATTTTGAATAACTAATATAATTCAATTTTATTCTGCAATATCTTTGAATTAAATTCTTCATTACGAGTTTAAATCAAAATCTAATGTCTTTTTTTTCAGGTTTCCCAAGATTAAAAACTCAAGATTATGGAATTTTAAATCGCTCATTTCCTCCCCTCTCTCTCTATTTCGTAACGATTATCGGTCGACCGAATGTTGACAGCTGTTCTCTCGGCGGCGCGAATATGGCCGCCGAGAAATCGATAGACGAGCAATGTGGGGAATTGAATTTAATCTCACGTCGCCGTGACAGCGTCTCTCCCCATGGGACGTGACCTCGCGACCGTCGTCCGTGAATGTGCCGTTCCGTCATCGGATGCAACACATTGACGCGGGGATTGTTTCTGCGCGCGCGCGCGCGCTTCGCACATCACCTTCGCTACCGTTCAGCGTTCAGCTGATCCGCGGATGACGGGTGAAAGTGCTCCGAATAGCTGTCGAGCTGTAAAGACGCGTGGCTGATTCGACGCGATGCACCGGGCCTGAAGAGATCAGCCGTATCGAGAGTTCCTATGTAAATCCAAATAATGTAGCACACAATAGTCAATTTTTCCAGAACAATAGAAGCATTCTCTCTCTCTTTCTCTCTCTCTTTCTAATGTGTTTTTTGCTTCCTTCTGCCTGTTATGAAAGAGAATCTTATTCTCAGATTTCCTCTTTAATTATAATGATAATATACAATCAATGTTTTTTCATATGACAATAATGAAAATAAATTTCTATTCATGTTTAATCACACACAACATAATTTAAGAAAATTTTTTTATGTATATATATAATAATCGAAAATGATAAAAATGAATTTTTTTCTATTCTGATAAAAATAACTCTAAAATTTTGTCATACCCAAGTCTCTATTTTGATTACAGTTCTCATGTCAGATTTCTTCCCTTGGACATATCTTTTAATTTTTGCATAATTCTTCCTGCAGCCTCTTTTGGAATTCATCAATGCTTATAAAGGAGGGACTGAATTTTTGACAGCTGTCCAGTGTGTATATCTGAAACTTCTTGTTCTTGTCATACATATTCAGTATAATATGTAACAACATGTGCTTCAATTTGTCTTATGGTTGACATTCATCAAGGAAAGATTGTTCCTTAAACAATCAATCTTTAATATGGATATTGAGAACTTCCTCTTGCAAGTACACAGTGTGATATTATCTATGTAACACTTTGTATTTGGATACGTGCCCTTAATATTTATCGAGGGAGAGATCACGTTCTCAACAACAGTGAATCTAATATGGACAGTCTGGAGCTGATTCTGGTAACTGTCATTGCATTTATCTGTGGTATAATATGTGCCCTGGCAGTGGAATTTTACCTATTCAAGAGGTATCTGGAATCGGGGCCTCAAGCAACTCTGCCACAAAGACAGTTACAGCATGGCAAGGCGCAGTTACCTAAGGAGCTGGTGGAACAGCTGCAGGAGGAAAGGGCGAACAGTAACAATAGTATGTCCCGTCAGGCGATGTCTCAGGGTAATGAGAACCTGGCCATAAACCTTACACTGCAATTCCTCTTCAATGAACTGCGAAACGCCGAGCGAGTGCGTTTGTGGCTTTACAGGAAGTTAAATAACGAATTTAAGGAACTGTTGACGCAGTCGACAACTGCCAAGCTGTTAGATAGCGTGAAAGTAAGATTTGAAATGTTTAATTGATTTTATAATATAATAAAAAAAATTATTTCTAACAAACTTTTTATAATTTTTCCAGTTGAGAGACTTGAATCTTGGCACGCAATTTCCAACGATAAAAGGCTTGGAAGTTGCAGATTCAAAAATCGACGCCGACACAGGTCTACTGGAATTTCTGGACTTGGCCTTAGATTTACATTACTCAGGAAACTTTCAATTGTCTATAGATGTTAAGATGCTACTCGGTAAAACAGCCTACATGGCATTACAAGGTATTATCACAGTATATTAAAAAGAATAAAGAAAATAGGAAAGATATTGTATAAATACATTATTGTCGATTTTTGCAGTAAAACGTATCAGCGGTAAAGCTAGGCTACAGTTTACTCGTGTACCATATACACACTGGTCGTTGAGTTTCTACTCGGATCCGATCTTGGAGTTAGAAGTGCAATCGCAGTTCCAAGGTCGTCAGTTACAGCCGCAAATAATCTCTATTATCACCAGTCAGATTAGAAGAGCGGTGAAACGCAAGCACACTTTACCTCGTTATAAAATGCGTTATAAGCCATTCTTCCGAAGATTGAATGACGAGGCCGTGGATCTCTCAGAAGTAAGAGCTGTTCTTTTTATTTATTTAAATTTTAATTAATTCGTTACATATTCGAAAATTTATTCGAATTGGCTGTAGTTTTAGTTTTGTATATACATTTTATATATACATTTTCACATACATTTTCACATTTTATATATACATTTACCCAGGTTGCTAGCACTCAGCTTACTCCAGGATATTTGGAGGTTGTATTATTAGAAATCAGCAGATTAAACCTTGCGCCTATCACTGTCAATAGTAGCGAGGACATGTCGCAAGTGGAGGTGTATTGCACCATGAGTGTGGACTCCATGCCATGGGTATATTTAACACAGTATGGCGGCGTCCCATACATGGTGCTGGATTTGATCATAAGCAAGACTGGTTCTCAACAATTGGGTGTAGTGTTTAAGCAGGAAGTTGTGCCAGAGGTCGGTCAAATGTGTGTGCTGGTGGAAACTATAGTATCTGGCAGTCCGGCGGCAATCGCCGAAATGAAGAAGGGCGATATTTTAGTGGCGGTAGATGGCAAAAGGGTATCGAGCATGAACCAAGTGGCGAAATTTGTCAAGACTGCCGTACAACGGCGCTTTATCATCAGAGTGGAGAGGAGACATTCGAAGGCGGACTCGAGCGAGAGAGGACAGAGAATAGACAGTGATAGAATGTCTTTTACCGAGAGGAAGGCATCAAAAAGCGATTCTATGGGAAGAATGGACAGTCCGTGTACGGAAGATGCCGGAAAAATGAAGTTTGAAGCGCAGATCAAATTCTCTGATCTTCGAGATTCCGATAACGATCTTACGGATTCTCGATTAGATACCAGCAAACTATTTAAAAGAAGAAAGAGCAGTATACAAACAGAAGATACTGCTCAGACGCCTGACACTACACCGTCTCGACGGATTTCAACGATTTCCATATCATCGGCGTCATCAAGCAATGTTCAATTTTATCTTCCGGACGAGAATAATGTGATCAGCATTGCCGATCTGTGCTACAACACGAAAGAAAAGCCGTTTGCTTCTCTAATCTCCTTTGAAGAAACCAAAAGTTTCCGGGTCGATTCTGAATTACAATATTTGAACGTAGGTGTGTGGGGTCATGTGAAGGGAAGCGAGACGCCGCCGAGACTATTAGGCTACATAAATGCACCTGTAAAATTGATTCTGGCGCAGTGTTGCACCTCCACAACCGGGCATTACCTGAAATGTCATGCCTTATTGCCGCCAGAAAGTGGTAAGATTCTATAGAGAATACACATTTCTTTTTTTCTAAATTATATATATTCCATTAAATATATAATCATAAAGAATAGTTTTTATAAATCTCAAGTAAAATCCAGTAACGTGAAAGAATTCATCTATCATCTAAAATCATTAATTTTTTGCATTACCGAAATTATTCTCGAAAAGAATAGATAAAATTATTTTAAATAATTAATCATAAAATGTCTTTTAAAGTTTCGTTAGCGACATCCTACATAAGACTGCAAGGATATTCGGGATTCGATCCAACGCTCTGTTATGGTGACATCCTATTGTCATATGTGTGGGAATCTTGTCAACCGAGCAATCATATAGTCAATGATTCCGGAAAGAAAGATAACACGGAAACTGCCAAAATACAACCAATTCCGAGCGATGAAGTCGTCGATAAAAAGATGCATGATTTCATTAGGACACACTTTCATAGGGCAACGCACTGTGATTTCTGTACGAAAAAGGTATGATATTAAAAATACATAACCGATAATATAATTTGTCAAAATGTCTAATTGTAAGACAGAAATTTATAAAATCGCGCATAACATGGAATTCGCATAATGAAAGTTATGATTATATTCAGAATATGTGAAAATATGAAAGTTATATAAATAATGAAAGTTATGATTATATTCAGAATATGTGAAAATATATATTTCATGATTTATATTTTGGCAAGGGACAATTCTTTCATTTTACTTACAGAATTTTATTTTTTTTATTCTACTTTTGGAAATTATTTGATGTCTGTGCAGATTTGGCTAAAAGACGCGGTGCAATGTCGGGACTGCGGCATGGTGTGCCACAAGAAGTGCGAAACACGCTGTCAAGCGTCCAGTACGTGTGGCGCGGAAAGCTTAGCGACATTGGCGCTGGAGGCGGACGAGATCGAGCCAAACGCTATCATTGGAGACATCTCAAGTCCGGAGATTTCTCTGACCGGATGCGAAGATAATGTGCAGGTACTCAAGACATAGAACCTTAAGACGTTCCGTTACACGCAAGCGTGATCGGTAACGTTTCGAATTCTCTCTTACAACATATGATATTCGCATATGGGTCAATAGATTTGGATCGAGAGGAAAGAACATATTTAATTTTTGAGATCAAGTATCTCATTTCATTTAATCAATTGAATAAAATTTTGTTAAGGGAAATCAAACTTACATTTGTCTAGGAATTTGTAAGTGAAAAAAAAACATGTGTGTATGTATATTTATGCAACTATATATTCAAAATTATTTTATTAAATAATATATAATCGTGTTTTAAAATTATTATTATTAATATTTTTATAATTATTAATATTTATTAATAATTTTATTACATAATAGCAGTTACATCACTAGTGTTTCTTTCTCTAAAAATATTAGCATCTCAAAAAATGCTTATTTAATTTTTTTTAAAGAGATTATTTTATTAGGATTTCCTTATATAATATTTTTTAAAAAAAGAGTGTGATTTATATATACATCTACTAGTCTGAAATTTGTGATAACTAATTTATTATTTTGTATACTTATATTAATTTATATGCTTTATTTTTCATATTTACTTAAATTTGCAATATTAATATTAATATAAACGCATTATAACATTGATTATCAATTATATTTTTGCAAACATATTATGATTGGTTAATTTTTAGAAATTTTATTTTGTTTTTGAATTTATATATATATATATATATATATATATATATATATATATATATACACTATACATACAGTATTATAATGAAAGATAAGATTTGATTTTACATTTTTTTAAACATATTTAATTTATTTATATTTATTTATTGCTTTTATCTTATTGAATTGAAGAGATTAATCTTTTATAACATGCATTTCGACGAGACATACTATTTTGAACACTTGGTCACACAGAAAGATCAACAAGTAATTATCATTATTACATATCGATAAAATGTAGAAGCGTTTGACGACATATCGTGTGGTTAAAGGATTGTATGAAAAATTTCACACGCAACTTTAAATGCATCTATCTTCGTATTTTGTACATAGAAAGCAGAGATTGTTAAGCGTGACTCACATCCTGTTGTTGGCAATAAAACGAATTGAATATATGCACTTCGGGGAGGTGAAGGTTTTTTTTATATAAGCTTGCACCTTGACCTCTTACCTTGGTTTTTGGAGTACCAATTTATAATAATACAAATAACATACAAATAGATAAGAATTTAATTTTCGTTTTCGTATAACACTAATATCACCGTTATATTAACGTTATCGGTGAAGTATACGATCTAAATGTAATCTAAATGTGTATCATTTCTGAATGTAATACATAACAGAATTTCAAAGTTTCAAATCTTTATAATATTGATGCGGTACATCAATGTTTACTTAAATTTAAAAATTTTTCAAAATTTATGTCGATAAAACGGCAAAAGTTTAAAAACATGTCCAAATTCCATAGATGACACTCAGATTCTATACTTTATCGATGAAGCAACATATACTTTTACAATAAACTAGAGCAATTATTTTGATTATTCTATAGAATTTAATTGGAATATGGTGTAAAAAAAGTATTAATCTATTTAAAATCCATCGATTAATCAGGGCGCAAGTATGATGGCCGTGAAGGCTAGTATAGCTAACACTCTGTTGGGCCTGAAGAAGGCTGGAAGTACCAGTTGTCTGGCCCCACCGGCTTCCAGTACTGGTCTGGCATCTCGAAGTCTTCCCCCAAGTCCCTGTGCATCCCGCAAGGTAGAATAATAACACACATTTGTTGTCTCCGTCCGAAGCGGAGAGGGATTATATATGTGCTTGATTTTATTTTTATCAATTTTGAACAAATTTTTATCTAATAAACATTTTTTATGATAAACAAGTTTTTCGTCATTTTAATGTGAATAGAATATGCGGAAATATATATTATAAATAAAAAATTATAATTAAATAATTATATATGATAACATATAACTATTTTTAATTTAAAAAAATTGTATTAAAAATATGTTGTGACACAATTTGTTAAAATCGGATTATACTATTGGATACTTAACTTATTATTTTCTATTTTTGAGGAATATTTGATGTTTTTTTTTTTCAAAATTATATTAAACTTTTTTTTTATACGCAAATTTATTTAATTGTTATAGATTTCTTTATCAGAGCGCATTAAACCTTCTCCGCTTCTTTCACTACACCTTCTCAAGCTGACATAAAAAGAAAAGATATATTCTTTGGAAAATATTGAATGTCTTGCAATTCCCATGCTTACCTTTTATTCACTTCAATCATTCCTTCATATCTCTCAAATGTGCCTTAAATTCGTCATTGAAGATACTCGTTAACTTGCACATAAGAAGAATGCAAGATGGTAATTGTGCATAATATTAGTACGTAGTATATATTTTTTTCAGAAAATGATAGGTTGAGACAATCATAAACTAATCATTACATTATTTCTTAGAAATTATTTATATAAAATTATAAATATTTCTCTTCAATGTTTCGAGAAAGAGAAATAGATATTTCCGCTGATTCTGAAATGATTTTTCTTGCTTATAAGTTATTATTTATATTAAATCATTTTTATCACAACGAATCATTTTTATCGCTTGCCCGAAACTGCTGAGAGTTTTCTCACTGATGAAGATTATCGTCGACACAATATACGCTGATCATGGCACTGATTGCATTGCAATTGCACTTTAACATCGGAGGCAGCGAGCATTTGCACATGATATGCGATCATATAGATGTAGGAAGATCATTGCGCATCATCGGTTCAGACCGCTTGATCACGCTTCACTTTTCGAAATCGGCGTAACGTCAGGAGCGAAGATGCCCCTTGCAGAGATCACGCCGCATTAATCGATTTGATCGAATTGTTGAAACGTTTAGAGCTCATTGGCTGGAGGTTTGGGAATAAGTCCTGACCTCTTGGAGGGTGCTGAGCCAAGTGTTGCAGCTCCACTTGTGGCTGGCGATTTGGACGACGGTCTTATGTCAAGAGCTAGAGATACCGGCAAGTTCTTGTACAAGTACCTGGAGCCGCGGGAACGCGTCGAAAAGATCAACATCATGGTACGTGAGTCAAGCTCCTTTTACAAATAATATTAAGATAGACTGAAATGTTTTACTTTTTGGATTTAGAAATCTATAGATTAGGACCTTTGGATTTGGAAATCCAAAGATTCCTTGCTTGAAGGAAAAGCTGAAAGAATTCTCTTGCGAGATTAATTATGATATTATATAATAACTAAATGTGTATCTTTTACAGATGGGCAAATTGAAGAACGCCTTGGACGCCGAAACTACCTCAAGATTAGAGTTATCTCAAAACGCGGAAAGTATGAAATTGATTGCGCAGAGCGATCTGCGAGTGCAGGCTTTAAGCGTGCTGCTTTTGCATTACTGTGCTGGTTTGCAACACGCGCAGGAGGCGTTAGACCGACCAGAAGCTAATAAAGAATCTTAACCAGAATGCATTCGACAGCTTTAAAGGAAAAAAAAAGCGTTTTCTGCAAAACAGACGGAAAATGTAGCGATATTCGATAATGAAATAATAATGATTCGCATTTTTTTCTCTGTAATGAACCGTGACTAGATGACGTAAACACGACACTTGTATCAATTTTATGATGCTAATGTCGTTTTTCATATTATATTTGTTATATTGTTACCAGACTGTTTGAAATACTGCACAGATTTTTGTATTATGCACAGAAATAGGGAGCAAGGATCCAACAGTATTTATATAGACATTCCATTATTACAAATACCGAAATTACAATTATATCTCATACGTATATTATTCTTTTTTTCTTTTTTACTATTTACAATAGTGTTTTAATACTTTAGAAGAATACGTATGTAACATTATTATAACGTTCCGTAACGATACATTTTCCAAAATTTGGGGTGCTGATATAACATTATATATATATGTAATGTTTGTAGCATCACATTATGAAGAGGTTTAAATATTACGCCATAACTGTTCCAAAGTATTCTACATTAGTCAATATCGAATTTACTGCTATATATATTCAAATGAGATAAGAATAAATGATAAAATATAATCACCTGATTTATTCAGTCAAACTTGGGCTCTGTAATGTGGCCAACTTTTAACGATAAAAATAGAATAATTTTGATGGGAACATTTTTCTCTTAAAATTTTAAATAAAGAGATCTTACATATTATTTTCTATACCTCTATTTAATGTACAAAATTTAACGTTAATAATTCCAATATTCGATTTTCACATATAACACTTTTGCGCTTTGTAGGATTAACCGAAGTTTTGCCTATGTGTTATGCATATATACTTATACGTGAATAATGCGATCTTGTGTACGTAAGGCTTCTAGTGATTTGATCGATCTTCGTATTGCAATTTGCATTACATATGTAGTTGGATAATACTCAGAAATCGTTCACCAAGAGAAAACACCAAACTCGTTAAGCTTAATATATTAATATTAATACACACACACACACACACACACACACACACATATATATATATAAAATATATATATTATATATTATAATACACACACACATATTCGTGTGTATAAACACATAGCAGAGAATGATGTCGTTTGCGAAAGAATGTCGATTATCTAAAAAGCTTACTATACAAGAAGAGTGTGACTTTTCAAATATATAAAATTAATAACAATTTTTTTTTATCAAATGACAGTTTTATGCGATACATATTAGATTCGTAAATATGAGTGTGAAAAACATATTACTATAATATGCAAATTTATCAAACAATTTATAGATCAAGAATCTGTCGCGATAATAAAATGGTCTATATCAAACAGTTCAATATAATGCACAACTGTGCATTGCGCCAAAACTTGTGTGATAAGTGAAAAAATAGCCCGCATGTTAATATCTTTGGATTCCAATATTCTTTGGTAAAAGCTACTTTGTATTTATTCTTTGTGTTTTTTTATATTATAAATTACATAAAATTTTGCTTTTTATAATTTTATTAAAAAACAATTTGCTTTCAAATTATGATCATACAAGAAGAAAATGAAAAATCGATAAATATCATAACTTTTAATACGTTCTTTTGATAAAGCCACTGTGTTTTATTCTTCATGTTACATTTTCTATTGTGTTTATTTATTAAAACTATTTCATTTTTAAATTATATAATCATACGAGAAGAAAACCAGATGCCATAACTTTTGATATTATTTTAGTTAATCGCATATGGTGCCAAATGACTTAAACACAACTCCATATACATATCCACGAATTGGAACAACTGTATCAAATGATATATATATTCGCATATTAGAAATAAAGAAAAGACATATGGCTATGATATTGAGGAAGCTGAAAAGATTTTAAAATTACATTTAACGATAGATGTAGTCATCAAATTTCTACTTGCCTAAAACGATTTCGACTTAAACTTGGCGAAGGCGATTAGATGACTATTTGTAATGTTAAATGCAAAATATGAATATAGATCCTTTTGACTGTTGAATCTATAATCAAAGAATTTTACCGCTTTGGCCTAAATCGGCGATATATTTCGACAACCAGAACTTTTATGAATTTTTTCACAAGGCAGCTTCGTATTATATACATATACATATAGCGAAATCCATCCATAAGCATTTCTGTGTGGTTGTAATTTTAAGATATTATGCGTCTCATGTTTGCAAACTGATGTATTGTCGCTCATTGTTATTATATATAAAGGTGAATATATAGATTGTTAAACGAGCATCTCGCAACTATTTAATATGTATGTTATTTTCCTTCGAGATCTCTATTAGAATATCTGAAAATACAATTGAAAGATTTGTAAGTAGTCATCTAATTAAAAAATCCTTATTTTTATTAACTATAAATTGTACTTAATATATTCTATTTAATACTATTATATTTAAAACAATCTTATAAAGAAACCTTGCAAATCTGTCAATTCTGATTTTAATTTAAACTTTGCGTAGATGTAAAAAGAGTAAACAGAAAAGTTTAAAAATGTTTGATTATTTTATTTTACTATAATTTTTAATGCTAAAAAGCGATTTTAAATTGAATTAAATCATCCCTTATATATAGCTTTTCTCGATATATCTCGAAAGCTATTTGAAATATTAATTAGCGCTAGAATATTAAATTAAATAGAGATAGAAAATGAAATTTTCACAATAAAATTTTTATATAAATTATATAATTATTTTATATAATTATTTATATAATTATTTATATAATTATTTATATAATTATTTTTGATATTTCGACTAATAAGATATATCGAGAAAAATCGAAAATTATTCTATGTATGAGGGCTGGTTTTATTTTTTAGAATTCTTTTAATATCAACTGAAGATTTCTGAATTCCAGTTTTTCTTTGTCAATATTTATTTATCTTATACACTATATATATTTTTTTCCCAAGAAATGAACGAGCATCAGAATGAGGTGTTATAAAGTCTAAAAGAACCGGAAGTTTATTGTATCAAGTTTCATGCGTTTAAAAATGCGTTTGACAACTACATTTTATTTATATAAGAGATTATATTTTTTGCATCTTTATTTTCTGATTCGCTTTCATATAAAGACGCACATGTCGCGAAAATGTCCAGCGCCGCTAACATTAAAGAAATACACAAAAGTCGCAATAAGAGTCATCAAGGTAGTTCACGAGTCGTACTGCTCGTGCGGGGAAATTCCGCGATGGAAAATAGACGTTCGTGAAAATCGAGGTCGTGAGCGAGCGTCATGAGCGGATGACGTTTTTCATCGCATGTATCTTTGCTGAAAATTTTCGCGAGAGAATTAATCTTTTATTAATCTAAATGTCATCTAAATAAATAATTTAATTACGAAAAGAATTTAAAAGGAAAATAAAAAATGGTACAATTTGTATAATTCTTAATCTTAAAATAAGAAAAAAATACATACGATGGAAATCGTAAAAACAGGGGGTGCACGTGTTCCCCAAACACACGCTGTATCATGTAAAATCGTCACCGTTCGCATGAGCGGTTCTTGGTAAACACGAAAACCGAAGACGCAGTACACATATATATAGAAAGAGAATACGGTCGTTTGTACAAAGAACGGACGTCAGCGGAGACGATTCCGCAGGGCCAATGTTCGCTCGTTGGCGAGGGTGCGAGCCAAGGTGTCCTCCTCCGACGCACTCTCCTCTCTGCCGCTGTCTCGAAAACAGAAAAAAGAACGAAGAATACGAGACGGAAGTTCATGAGCCAACGCAGAAACTGCGAAGTGTTCCTTCCTCTCTTCTTTCTTCCCTCTTTTCTCTCTTTCTCTTTTCCCTTCTCTTTTATGCGAACTCCTTAATGACTCCAATATACTTTAACAATATGAAAAATTGATTTTTAGGATTTTTTCTAAGAATATTAGAAAAATTGAACTTTTTGTCATTTTACATATGTTTTTATTAATATTAAATAATACGTCAGTATTTTTAAATCTTGGATATTTAGTTTTTTTTTAATTCAATAGCCTCGTTCAAAAATGCATAGGTCAACAATATGACATGTTGTTCTTCATGTAATTGTCTGAAATAAAAAACGATTATTGTCGAGTTTCATGCATTTAAAAGTGCGTTTGATAACTGCAATTTAATTTGCATGAAAAATTATATTTTAAGATCTAGATTTATATCCTAAAGGATATTTGTGCGATACTAAACTTAATTTCATTAAAGAAAGTTGAAAAATAACAAAGTAATATTATTTCAAAATATATATTTCAATTTTATTTAAATTTATTCATTCCTTTAACCCAGAAAATAAAAATCGATTTTTTTGACACTCTAAAGTAGACAGGGTTCTCAATAAAAATTTAAATATCTAGGAATCTGAATATCTCTATTAATAATGTAATTAAAAGAATTTAAATAAAATATATGTAAATATAAGACTCTATAAGAATCTATACATATGAGATGTAATAGAACAGGTTTCAAGTATTCCACAAGAAGCCACATAAAAGGTTTGCGAGAAAGAAAATATTATAAATTTTTTTAAAATCTCAGAAATCTTTAATATAATTCCGGAATGCATATTATGATCTACATACATCTGACATTAAGGGTATAATTTAAGAATTCAAGAATCTAGAAATTTTTGAATAATTTAGGATTCAAGAATATCGTAACACAGATTCTTAAAGATCTGTATGTATATGTATTATCGGATTCTTCCTCTTGTCCTAATCTTTATCATTACACGTCCTACATCGTATGAGGAAACGAAAACGACGAAAGAGAAGTCATGGGGGATTTTGGCCTGCGGCTGTCTATTTTCGTCGTCAAAGATGCACGCGCAGTATCCTCTGGCCACGGGCCAAGCATACTGTGAAACCGTATAAACATTTTACCCTGGTTGAGCATTGAGTTCCACAAATGAATGAAGAGCAAAGTCCTCTAATGTAAGAAAAAAAGAGAGATACTCGTAGAAAATTGCAGACAGTAACGAAATCTGCTGTACGAGCGTATTGTTATTCATTTTATTTCTCTTAAAAAAAAAGGCAAAATTTTTATCAATATGCATTTAAATATGCATTTAAAGGATGAAAGAAAAATGCAAATGAAAAATGTAATTGTTTCTATTTGTGGAAAATTTATAATATTCAAAATCATGTTTTCAGTTGAAAAAAGAAAAAAAAAATACATATGTTCATATAAAAACAATCTATTTTTTTTAATAAAAAAGAAGAGGAATACGTTTAAATGCTATGATGTATTGACTAAATATATATAACGTATATTATAAAATCTTTATTACATTTTATTTTTAAAAAAAGTAAGACTTGCACTATGTTAGAGATATATTTTTGCAAATCTCGACCTCATGTATAAATTTCTTTATTCTAAGATATTTCTACTTTAAAATGAGAATTATTAGTTATATTCGTATCTATTGGCTTTTAAAATAAGATTTTCCTAAAAAATCAATAGATACGAATATAACTGATAATATATCTATTGGTATCTATTGGCTTTTAATGAGATTTTCCTAAAAAATCTTTGTCGTTATATCTCTAAGAGATGCACGAGAAATAAGGATAATAAATACGAATGAGTGATATCTAATGTATATACATTTGTGCAAAATATTGCGACAAGACAATAAAGATTTGCAGAAATCTACAAAAATAGAGAAAGACAATTAAAGGTGGTCGATTTTCTGCTTGTGATCGTGACCTAAAATTAAATGCGTTGTCGAGTCACTTTGTGCTGCGAGAAGCAGCGGCACTTTTGGCAATTTAGCAAATTCCTCCAAATATCCACGCGAAATATTATGGATACATAGATACAGTGACGCACATTTGGTACGATTTTCTAAATATTTATCCGAATTGCGCATAATAAATTAAATATCATGTAATAAGAGTAATAAATTATCGCGTCTCATATTTTTCTACCAAATATACTTCTTATTATTGGCTTTTCATTATCTTGCGAAATAATTGTTACAAAATTAATACTAGCTGTGAATGTGCGATGAAAATCTTTATATTAATATTATATAATTAATTATAAATAATAATTATAAATGTCATATTTGATATATATAACATAATTATTTAAATACTTCTTTATTAAAGATATCATTTAAAATATTTCTCAATTTAAATTATATCTTTAATAAAAAAATAAATTAAAAAATTATATAATAAGAGTCTATATTTTATTTATATTTTATTTATAAAATTTCTTTGTTCATAAAGCTGTAGTCGAAAAGCTGAATGCGTCTCAAGACTGACATTGAGGATTTTTTGTTCCAACGTACATATAATCCTGATGACTTGTTTTTTTTTCGATACTAGCTCGTGATTGCAACGTGCCCATATTGAAATGAATCATATTCTACAAAGGGAAACCAAAATTGAATTCGACGAATTTTTCAACTTTGAATTCCTAAGATCTTAAGTTCTTTATATATATATATATATATATGTGTATAAAGAATATAAATATGTAAAATTTTTATTTTTATATTATAATATAATTGAATTGATTAATTAATGTATCAAATGGAAATCAATTGTTGATAATTTTTTGATAACTTAAATATTGAAGAATTCTTTTTATAAAACGAAAAATCATTTTAAAGATTTTAAAAAAGAGAAATCTTGAAGAAATCTTAAAATAATTGTTATAATTTTAACACAACGGGGAACGTCGAATTTAATAATTTTCCCAATCTTTAAACAAAAATTTAACTAATAATTTTGTTTCGCTTTTTCAGACATGTAGAAACGAAAATATTGAAGAAATCTCAAAGAAACCTTGATATAGTAGGAAAACCTTGATGAGTTAATGCGGTTCTAACGCGGAAATCCCAACATCGAATTTGACAGCCTGCGCGTCGCGCCTAGTACTTGGCTGCGTTTGTTTTCAAACAAAGAGAGGGACAGTAGTAGTCACACATACGTGTAAAATAATCAGCTGATTCGAGATGCTTCCTCGATGGCGGGGGAAGTAGCGAAGGCTTAAATAGCACCGCGTGCACCGCGTGCGAGCTAGTATCGAACTGGAGTCATCTGAAACGATTGCCGGTGATAGCCTTCAAGTACATCGGATATATGAAATACGGAGGGCTTTCTGCAAAGTCTTCGAAAATCGCGCAGAAAGTCGGCCAAAATTGCTGAAATTTGCTCGCGAGATCGAGGATTCTTCGAGAGAGTCGTCTTCAGGTGAATTTTATCCCAGTGAAATTGCACGAGCGTGGAAATCTTGAAAAACTTGTGTTCTGGTAAATGCTGAAATTGGAAATCCGCATTTTTACGCATTTGGATGATACTTGGAAAAACGCTCTTTGATACTCTTTGAATCAAATTTGAATCCCAGAATATTCGATTTTTGATAGTGAAAAGATCCGCAGCCATAAATTAATCCAGTGCAATATAAAAAGTATAACAACATTTAGGTGGAGCTTGTAAAATGTTCTCCTAGCAATTAAAAATTAAAGAAAGAGGTTGATAAAAATTATTCTACAAGAAACTGTTCTTCGACAAATTTGCGAGGATCAGTGCTGATTTTAACGACAAATTCAACGACATTCGCACGCTTTTAGCTGTAAATCATAATAAGGAAGTGAAGAATCATGAAGCCGCCATATGAAGAAACGATGCAGCAGATCTCGCAGGAGCAAGGCGAGAGAAATGTCGCGATGGCAGTCTGTGTACAACTTGCTGGTCGGGCGATCATCAGGGTGGTTTCGCGATGTGAAGAAGCCCAAGATAACTGTAACCTAGGTGGGTTGATCAATCACAAAAATCAGTCTAAAATATATCCTAAATTTTATTTATACATATAAAAGATGTTCTGAATCTTAGCAACTTTTTCTTATAGATAGAGCAAAGACTTTTGAGATCTTGAAGAATTCCTCTGACATTGAAAAGTGTCTTATTGAATTAAAAAAAAATTCATTAAAAACTCTTATTTCTTTAAATTTCTAGAGATGTTCTATTTCTATAATTTCTTAACTATTTCTTTAATTTCTTAACAAGTTTCAATGCTGGAACACACACGGTTCTATACTGTGTATTGACTTTAAAGATATTTGACAAGTGCGAAAATCTCTAACTTGACAGATTTTTGACAAACACATTTAGGAACATTAATAGGAACATTAACATTATCAATGTCTAAATAATGTTATCTGGGGAAAATGCTTACTTATTTCAAGGACTTGTAAATACTGTATGTGCAGGAGCATATGTCAATACTTTCTTATTCAAGATAATTTCCATCCTTGACTTATCTGTAATGCTTTGATCTTGATTACAACCATTTTTTAATCTGCCAACAGTTATGACTCTTTTGTTAAAAAATTATACTCTGTATAATCATGTGTAATCTATAATCGAAAAATTTTATGAAAATTAAACAATATATATATAATTAATATTAATCTTTTATTAAACTTTTATTCAATTTTTATTAAAAATATAATAGATTTAAAAAAAAGATTATGTACACAAAAAAAGATTTATGTATAAAGTTTGAAGTGTTTTCTTCCGCAGATATAAATTTTAAAAAATAAGCAAATATTTGTTCAATCAAAAATTTATAGATTATAGATTAAATCTCTCTTAAAAATTAATCAATAATTATATAATATATTATAATTCTACGAGAAACAAAAAATCTGCGATCGACTCGATCTTGGACCGGAGTCAAGAATCTGTGGAAAATTTAGTAACGATTTATGATCAAGATTTACATCCGTTTGAATAGATTTTCGCGTGAATACAATTTTTGAATTTAAATAAGATAATAAGATCAGTGATAACAGAAAAATATCGCGTTCAGAATAGATGTTATCGAAAATTTTGAGTATTAAGGATTTTGCTGTAAATATAATTTGTGATATGATTTGATATGATTCATTATTAATCGCAATAATGATTTATGATATTAAAGATTTGATATTACAAATTATGTATTATAAATTTTTGATTAGATATTTTATGAAAATTTCATGAATCTCTAAAATTAGAGATATAATTACTTTGCATTATTAATATAAAGTACGAAATATTTACATTAATTATCAGATTGTACGCTTACAAAGGGTTGTAAATCGCAATAACGCATGTTTGCGTATTCTCTGTTAATCTCTAATCTTATCTGATATGCTAGCTTGATATCGATGATTCATTTTGTTTTGCACGGCTAACGAACTCTCCTACTTTCTTCTCTCCCTTGCGGATACATATTTTCCCACAAATGCAACATTACCGTTATATGTTATAAAAAAACGGGAAACAAGCGACTGAAAATTGGTCGATGATCGTCGAGACGGCAATATGTTGCAATTTTCCACTATGATTTGACAAAAAAACTATAGCATAGTTTCGTAGAAAGTACGAATCGTTATATGGTGTATGGAGAACAAACATCCGGTCAGTACAATTAATTGAATTTAATTCTATTAAAATTAGACAAAATTATATTATAATGAAAAATCTAAAAAAAGTCCGGTAGAATTTCTAATAATAATAATTTATTAAATAACAATATAAATAAATAATATACAAATTATAATAAATATATAATAAATAAATATATAATACTAATAAATAATAATATACAATTTATTATAATATAAAAACAAAAGTAAAATTTTTTTCTTGAGTATATTTTTATGTAAAATGGAGTATAAAAGAAATTATAAAGATAGATTAAAAATAGATAAGATAACATTAATTTATCATAATTAATTTAAAAGTAAACTAAGCAAAGTTATCATATATTTAAACTGTGAGATTTTGTCGTATCATATATTTAAGATAATATAAAATTGCTATAGAGATGAACTATATAAGAACGGATAAATAAACAGGTGACGTTTCTCGAGCATCAGTTCGGATAAAAGTGAAATGCTCGCTTCGTAACTCCGGCATAGATAATTGACTGGATAAACATTGCGTTATTCAACGCACACGTCCGGTCTTTGTCTCTTTCCCTCTCACATATCGCGAGCATCGCGGAGCGGTAATCTTTGATTTGCCGCGCGTGTATCTTCAGGACACCCGATGCACACGCGAAAGGTCGATCTCGGAATAGTAAAGTGAAGCCTTGGCAATGCCAATATGCGCACTCCGAATTCCATCAAGAGGCTACACCTATTCTTTTGAGAGCCTTTTTATTATTTCATAGTCCCATGTATCAAAAGCTAGATGTGTATTGTTTGGTACGAATAGAGACAAAAAAATACAATGTTAATGATAAATCTCCGCTAAACACAGATCTTTTTGTTCAGTTTCTTGGTTCTAATCTAAGCCTGAGTCATAAATTTTCTGGCTTCGTACAATCGTGTTTCAGATTTGTATGTACAATTGATAAAGTTATGGTAATATCATTTTATACATGAAGTGAGTTAGTTTAACAAAGCTCGAGTCTATCATTGTTTGAAAAAATTGTTATTGTCAATTAGAAATTAATTAATCGCATTCTAACTTTCCATAATTTTTTCACTGTAAAAACATTGCTATTAATTTTCAAACTTCCAAAATCAAAAATAAATACAAAAATAAATTGTTAAAATAAGACAATGAAAATAAAAATAAAAATATAAAATTAGGTTTAATATCTTAAACATTACTTTAAATAAGCAAGAGCAATTATTATTTAAGATAGCAAAAGAAATTATTATTACACAAGATTTATAGATATGTAGATATATAAATGTCCATTTATATGGATACTAGAGTCGAGACTAAGGATACGTGTTGCCTCGAGAAAGATCCCATGCTAATTCTAAAAAGCAGAACTTTTCCGAAGACGCACAAACGCATCTACGACGCGAGAAGTTTCCGTATAGGGTCTTGCGACCTTAAACGGCAACTTGCTCTTTCTCTCCATCTTGTTTTATTATATTGTAGCAAAAAAAGAATGATCGCACGCACATTAATTAGTCACGATGTTCGCGGGAGCAATAGTAAAAGTAACTTTCATACTAATTTTATACAATGACTTTCGTACTAATTACACAATCATCGTTCGACCATTTCATCCTTGCTTAATTTATTTATGGTAGTTATATAAAATGTCTCGTAACTGAACATATTTTTCGAAATCAAGTATTTGTTTTTGGGATTATTTTAAATTTTCGACTAAAAATCATTTTTAAAAAAGCAAAAGAGAACAACTTTTCCAGAATAAAATTTAATTTTCTCTTTAGGATTCAAAGAATGAAAGATTGCTCTGTTAGATTTTTCATCGAGCACTCCAATATCTAAAGATTTGTTTATTAAAAATACTGTCATACACAAAGATTTTTAGAGAATTATAAGAAAGAAGTTTATCAAAGTCAAGATTAAATAGTGCAAAAAGCAATCAACCTTTTTTAAAATGAATCTTTTTTTATTCATAACAAACAAATAACGATTCATTGCCTAATTTCATGTTTCTTCTCTCTTATTTGTCTCCTTGATCATGTATTTAAAAAAACCATAAAAATTTCAATTGGACAAAAATTGTTGAGTATTTATAAAATGTGACGTTCTAAATCCTTGATTTCTGAAATCGGTACAAGTCGCGCATTTGCCTTTTCCCGATTTTCGCGGATTCTCGTCGATTTCTGAAGGAATGAGTCGCGACGAAGGTTAGCCAGGTGGCGAGATTTATTTCGGAAAGCACGCACAGAAATAAATGTTTCCAACAAGCAATCGGAGCCGTGAGTCAGTGCGGCGACGGGCTAGATGGCGAACGCCGTGACGAGAGTGATTCTGCGTTGCGAGGAGGCGCAGGAGAACGAGAACCTCGGTAAATTGCAGGATTCGGTGAAAGCGTGATTTTTTTAATTCACAATTAAAAAGTTTGGCAAGAAGGATTATTTAATACGCGACGAATTCATTGCAAATGTGCGAGGTTTTCGCGTATGTACTTTCGTAATTCGCTTCGCCTTCGTGCGCGATCACGGAAGAATTACGAAAATTACGAGAGGTGTGGCACAATAGTCTCAATCTGAAGAAATTTGATTGCGCGGTCCTTTCATATTTATCAATTTCAATGTTCATGTGTCTTTTTTTCGCTAAATATAGTGTAGTGCGTTTTTAGATATTAATACACATAGATATTTATAATTTACATTTCTTTTGGTTCACATATTTTAGATATTAAATTAATCATCAATTATAACTATATAAAAAATATGAAAAAAATTATATTGCCTGATCAGTTGAAATGCTATTCGTATCTATTCCTTTACTTTCTTTTTAGTTTTATAATAAACCTTGCCTTTAGTTTTATAATAAGTCTTAGATTTGTTAAATAATATCATTTTTTTTCTTGTTATAATTCTTATTATAAATTAAATCATGCAATAATTTCTCATCATACATATGCACAGGAAAATATTATTCATATATTCAAGTGAATATTATTTATTTCAAATATTTTATAAGTTTATATATCATAGTTAATATAAGTCTCTATCACAAATTTATCACAAGCATAAAATACATAAAAATATTTTCCAAATCCTAGTAATTTGCTTCTTCTGATTTTGTTACATGGAATTGGGAGAAATATATCTTTTTTCTGATTTAATAAATATTCTCTTAAATTAATATAACATGAAATATTCAAGTATTTTTAAATTTGAACATTTTATTATATATTTGTAATAATTTTTCATTCTTTAATACGCGAAGGAAAAAAAGTAAATTCTTTCTTTGAGTACATGACAATGAGAGAATGAAATTTTTATAACTTGTGATGAGTATATTTCACAAAATTACCAAGAAAATATTCTTCGTTAGAAATCATCTCATGACTTATATGAAGAAAAATAAACTGAAATATGAAATATTATATTTTCACATTTATTCTAGCTAGTGCTATGAAATCGTGTTCCTTGACTTTGCTCGATTTTATGAAAGATTGATAAATTTATGTGTTTATTCGTCGGGTTAACAAATCATGGCTGTACATTATTTTCCCGGAACTGTGCGCTTCATATTTATTAATGTGACTGCGATGATTGATAAATACACATATATCAGAAATACGTTTGTTCCGTAACCACGTTCTCGGCTCCCGCGATCGAGTTAGCGTCAGTGTCGACAGTCTTCCGCACTGAAAACCGCGTTAGAGAAAGCGTGAAACGCAGTACGGCCGACATTAAGTGCACTTTCAGCCCATGATAGGCACGATGCACCGCGACTAGAGTTGTTCTATCTCTTTTTTTGGATGATAGAACACTTTTACAATCTCATTATTAAGATTCGACTGATGCTATCGATATTTAAGCAGGAGAAATCATGCTATCTCAATTTAATTTGGAGAAATAAAAAGTTTTCTAGTCTATCAGTCAGTCTAGCCTATCTGTCTAATTTATCTGAAGCAAATTATTCAGAAATCATAACATCTTCATTTAATTTAAAGAAGTTTCATTTTTTAGTCCCTGTCGATCTATGAAACAAAATATTTAATATTTTTTATTAAATATTTGTTTCATGTAAAAAGAACGATTTTACGCCGTTTCGTTTAATTCGAGTAGAAATTGTGCATATAACGCACTTCTAACTTCTATTGTGATAGAAAATGCAATCGTTCTGATCTAAAAAATAAATAATTTTTTATTCCACCTAATTAATTTGGTAATGAGCCTTGAATAAATAAGTTCCGACAAAAATTCCATTGTATTTCTTTTGAATAACATTAATTTTAATGACTAAATTTCGATTGTGTATTCCTATATTTACATTTTTTTGTGAAATCATATCTTTTTTGTATTTTACGTTTCAGACTTGTCAGAGTGCCAGCTCATGCAAATTCCGGACGCTGTCTATCATTTAATGCGACATACGGAGCTGAAAAGATGCGATCTTTCCGGAAACGTGATCACAAAGATTCCAGCAAAATTCGCCGTAAAGTTCTCGCTAATTACTGGTGAGTGATTAGCTGTAAAGGATAATCTCGGATTACCGTCCATCTCTCGCTTTTGCAAAATTTATTCTTTGATATTCCGGTGAGAAACATAAACATCCGCACGAAACTGTTCGTTGCTTGCACAATAAGGCATTTATTATATATTGTTCGCAGAATTAAATTTGAGCCACAATCAAATGAGCAAACTGCCGGAGGAGCTGGCCGAGCTGCAAGCGCTGGAGAGACTCGACATCTCGCATAACACTTTCATCGCTCTACCACCTGTCGCTTGGCGAATACCGCAGCTCAAACGGCTCCTCGCCAACAATAATTTTATTATCGGTCAGTATTAATTAATTTATTATTATATAAGCGAAAATTATCGGAAATCATTAACAGGTCTCGTGATACGTAAATCATTCCTCGAGAGCTTTGATTTATATATATTATTAGAAGTACATCAGGCACAAAAAGCCTCTCGATTCGAGCAAACTATAAGAGAAGGATTTCTAGAGTTTTCATAGATTCTAGAATTTTCATTCAGAAAACCTATGGAAATCCTATGGATTTTTTTAATCTCTTATGATATATATCTCGTTAATTTTGCAGACGTTGACGTCGAGAGACTTAGGCACGCACCCGTCCTGGAAGTGGTGGATTTGCAGGCAAACCCATTACCTCCCAGATTGCACGATCTCTTGCGCACTCTGACTGGGATCAGAATTGAGCTTAGTCCTCGGCAAATCGAGGATTGGGAAGACTTGAACGTCTAAATCGTCTCCCGCGTAGCTTGAGAGTAGCTCTGATTCGCGAACGATGACGACTCCATCCTCTTTCGATGAAGATTGCTCAAGGCTTCGTCACAGCTAGAAGTAGAATTGATATTTTGTACAGAACGTACTGAGTGATATAACTGATACGGATCGTCAATCGAAGCGATCCGGTTGTACTTTTTGTATAAATCCTACTAGTGATTTGTATTTAAGTATGTACTTAATTACGACGGATCTATTATATCGATCTCGTGATCGAGATCGATCGATGATCCTCCTGTGTTTCTTTTATACCGCGTGGATTTTTAGGTTTTATCGCAATACAAGTCACGAGCGACTCTATTGTAACGCTTAGATATATATTTTAATCATTGGAGATTCAAGCATTCTTGGATTCTTGATGATTTACGTGGAGATTAAAGTATCTGAAGCTTTGAATCCTTGAACACCTGTTGAAATCTCTTGAATTTGCTTGCACTCTTGAAATTTTTTATAATCTCTTACACATTTAGAATCTGCGAGGCTTGAAGTCTTGGATCCTCAGAGTCTAAGATTTAAAGAATGCTTAAGTTAAAGAATATACATCAAATTTTCTGGGATACTCTGAAAATTGCATTATTGAAATGTATCGTGAATGCAAATTATATTGACTGCAATTCGTGTCTGTCAATAATTTACGGACAATTTACCGCTATCAACTGCCGATTTATGTATACACATTGCGTAGCGCAATTTCTCTAATACAACATTTTACACTCGAGCGTCATATGCAATATAATAGGGAAGGTGTCATAATTTTACATATGTTGTTGACATTATTGCACATTCTCACAAAATATATAACGAAATACTGCACACAAATGAGAATTAAATGTTTTTTTGCAAATATATGTTCTAAGAATATATTTACGTATATTTTACATTTTACACATATTCATAACTCGAGCATGAAAAGATTAATACCTCATGTATTGATGACGTTCGAATAGAAAATCAGGTTTATATATCTCGAGTACAAAGTTACGGAATAATAATAACGGAATAATAAGAATGATAGAAGAAGTAACTGTCATTAATTAGTAATTGTTAACGTTTGGATACAGGGTGTCTCATGAAGATATATAGATTTGCAAATGATCCCGCGAAATCGTACGCATTTTGCGTATGTAACAACGCACATCAAATAATATGTTTATAATATTAAATTTATTTTATTCTCTCTTTGTGTGTAACTTTTGATCTAGTCAATTTTATCTTGAATGAACGGATCTTGAGAGACACATAATTTTGCCAATTCTTGAATTTACCTATAATAGAGTGAATGATTTCACGAATTCTTTGAATTGAGAATTCCTGATTTCCAAGACTTAATTGCGAAAATATAATCCATAAAACTATTGTGTCTGTAAATCTGTAGTTTCACACATTCTCAGATCCATAGAAATTTGAACAGCATAAGCGTAATAAAACGAAAAGCGCGAGAGCGCATTTTTCTATCATAATCTGCAGGACTTGTTCCTAGTCTACATCCTAATTATCATTATCATTATATTACAATTTCTAAGTCATAATTATATTTTCACGAAAAGCAAACTCGCATAGCAAGTTGAAGAATATGTAATGATATTATATATTTTATGCTTTTTCAATATTTTATCGCAATGCTCGATATATAATTTTTTTGTACAATATACATATAATTATATATAATTAATATATAATTTTGATTTAATAATTAGAGACTTGGCTCAAATAATCAAAAAATCAAAAAGAAAATGGCATAAGAGTCAATGCGCGATAGTTGGAGCGCAGAGCAGCAACAACACTTCTTTCTTTTTCCAATATTAGTTTATTAAAAACATATTATAACAAAAAGCGAATGTTTCGGGTCATCTTTTGATCCTCCTTCTGCGCGATGTTAACAATATATATTACAAATAGTGACGCGTTACATTAAACGAATTTATTTTTATAATTTTTCGATGGGTAGGTAACGCTAAACACTTTGCTTCCAACAGTCAATTAAATATACTATAGTTATGCTATGCGACGTCACAGCAGATCTAGCAAATCGAGTAAAAATAATAAAATAAAATAAACATCAAAAAATATTACACGTGTTGGAAGCAGAGTGCTTGCTAGATCTCCGCGGATGCAATTTAGCGTTACCTACGCGTCGAGAAATTATAAAAATAAATTCGTTTAATGTAACGCGTCACTATTTGTAATATATATTGTTAACATCGCGCTGAAGAAGGATCAAAAGATGACCCGAAACGTTCGCTTTTTGTTATAATATGTTTTTAATAAACTAATATTGGAAAAAGAAAGAAGTGTTGTTGCTGCTCTGCGCTCCAACTACCGCGCATTGGCTCTTATGCCATTTTCTTTTTGATATAATTTTGATAAAATAGAAATTGTGCAATGCTTTCAGATAAAGATTTTAGTCAAATAATTTTCATCGCATATAAATTTATGACATTCTGTATTATATGTACGAAATAAATGACCGAAAAAAGATAAAGAGCTAATTTTGATATATGTATATATGTCATACAATGTAAAAACGATTTATTAATAGAGGACGTAAATGGTACACGCATTTATAGAACCTCGACGGTCGATGCTACCTTGATTCATTGAAATAGAACATGTGTATACAGAGTGTGTCAAAAAAACATGCAAAATAAAATGTGATTTAAATCGAAATGACTATCAATAAAATTACGAAATTGCTTTTTTATCTAAATATTTTCAATTTTATACTTTGAATAAATTTTTTGACTTGTACCTCTGATTGCATTAATTAATGTTATGCTGCATATTAATTCTTCTTCGTTACAAAAGTTAGCTTCATTATATAAACATAGTACATTTTTAATTAAAAAATTTTATAAAATATATTTCGTTCATTATAATTTGCTCATCTAATTATATATTACCATTAATGTTTCAGTTTCGATCTTCCAAATATTAATTCGCGCGATTATAAATCGTGAAAAAACGCGGTTAATTATGATAACGAATATTAATTAATATGATACAGTAAATTCAAAGTTTTATTCAAAACTTTGTTCATGACATTTATTTGCACATATAATTTATGTAGTAAATAATATAGTAAATATCATATCTATATATAGTTCAACAAAAAATAATTTCGTTTCCAAACATAAGAAAATTAGTTATTTAGTTTTCTATACATATATATAATTTTTTTGATATCAGATACCGCTTTCTGCTCCATACGTCACAATTTAGAAAAATTTATTGTTAAAGTTTTAAAAGAGAATTATTTTAATATATTTTATCATATTATAAATATGTGATATGTTAAAGATGTCTTGTTGCGATAAAAATTAAGTATGTTAGAATTTATACAATCTTCAAAAAACATTTGTTGTATAGATTATGATTAATAATCATATTTCATTAAAAATGAGATTTATTGCAGAAAAGTTACAAATTAAATTGATTAAGAATCTAAAAAATTGATTAAGATTATATAATGAATAAGAATCGAAAAAATTATTTTTGAATATTTATTCAAAATGAATTTTTATATCGTTGAATACAAATTTAATGTTAAATTTGACAAATTCAAAATCGTATAAATTTTTGCAAAACTTCAAATATTTCTTTCATTTTAATATTTATATTTTAATTTAGTTATTTTTTTAATTTCTCAATTTTCTCATATCGAATTTTCTATTTAATAACCTGAAAACTTTTTAAATTTAACTAAATGTAATTAAAAACTATTTAATACATCTTCAGAAAGACCTAATTCGCAACTTTATCACAATATATATCACCGTTATCAACCTTAAATAAATATCTTATTAATTTAAATCTTATTAATCATAGTTGACACAATAAATTTCTTTCGACGATTAAAAGCCTCAATAACTTTAAAGAATTTAATTTTATGATTGTAAAAATATTAAGCATACATTTTGTACAAGAAAAATATTAATAAAGCCAGAGAAATAAGCCAGCATAAGAAAGGATTGTGGATGCAAAGGCGCAAATATTGGTCACATTAACATATCTGAAACAGATATATTGGTTTAGTACCTGTATTTTTCAATAGTAATAATAATAATGATAATAATAGTAATAATAATAAAAATAATAATAAAATATAATGAATCGCAGAATTATCTATACAATACTTGTTCGCGTATAGAAAAAAAATCACAAAATATACATAGAACGAACACGAAGTTAAACGTCAAGGCGCATAGACCCGTTATTTAATCTTAACATAATCGCCAAACAGTTCCTTTATTTTCGCCGTTAACGAACCGAAAGCAGCTACCGCGATAAAGAACGGGGGAGATGCATGGGATGATTCAAGCGGATTATCGATCATATTTATATGTGTACTTGCATATATCTGGTTATAATGAAGCTATGCCTTTCTCTGACGATCGAATATAATATTTATATATATATATATATGTATAATATATACATGACATTCAAAATGCGCGAGGAAATACGGCTATACGATTTCCGGATTTCGCAATATTAGGACAACAGGTTCTCACAATCGCACACTTACGGACTTGCTTTTTACTCAAGACTCAGTTTTTCTTTTTACAGATACTCTATTCTATTTCGGCAGTATCTGTTGTTAAAAAAAATGTCACAATAACAATAGAGCGACAAGTTGATACATTCTTCGATAATTCAAGATTATATGGAATTGCATTAATTTGTCGCTATATATCGTTTTCATGAGCGACATTCTTTTTAAAGAATTTTGTATAGAATGACGTATATCATTCAGTATAGAATTTTAAAAATCAATCCCTGTCCGCAACGAAAACAGAGCCTTCCTATCCGGTTTAATGTCAATTCTGGCACTCGTCTCGCTCTCGCGCTTCTATATGTATATATATATATATATATATCCGTGATGATATTTACATTAATCTATTGCTAATTAAATTCACATTCAGGCAATTGTTTAAACGCGATACATTATCAATCTACTGGAACGACCCACTTTTCGCTAAATCAACGTTACATGCCTCAAATGACTTTTCGTGCGTTAACTTTCGGTTGTATCTCGTGCTTTTAAATAAGTCAATCTTTCATTCATAAATGTTTGAGACTTCAAAGATTTATGAATTACTGAATCTTATCAAGGTTCTTAATTTTTTGGAAAATCTAAATTTCGTAAATTCTGGCATATATATTTAGATGTTTATATTTTATGTATATCTTTTATCTTTTTATAGAGAAATCTCTATGAATTCTAGATTCTTAGCCATAAATCCGGAATGTTAAATAAAAAATCTTTCAAAAATCCTCGATTTCAAAATTAGAAATACGCATGGAGATATAAGATTATATAAATCGTTTATTTCATAGAATTTTACTTATTGTACGAATGTTGAATGTTCTTAAATTCCTGATGTCACAATTTCGAAAACTTTTTTCGTAATTCTCCTTATGCGAATTCCTGGAAATTTTGATTACAAGTAGATTTCTTAGTTCGCACGGCTGTGATGAAACTCGAGTGAGGATCAGTCTCGTGTTTTTTTTCAGCCTAACAGTGAGTCGTGAAATAGTTTGTCTCTTACGATGAAAAGAACGATAAAACACTTTTCTCGGTGCAGCAACGATTACAATACAGTCATAATTACCTTACGAGTGACGAGTAGGCGAGGCGCGCAATTATTATTACTAAGACGGTTACTTTCTTTAACGAGATTGTTAAATGTTTCGCTCGTACATAGCTATATGAAAAGGGGATACCATGTCTCGAGAAGTCGCATCAACGACCGTTTCATCCATTAATAATAGAGACTGTCTTTACGAGAAGAGACTTTGCGATTTAATCTTCAAGCAGCCACATTAACTGAAGTGATATTCAAAAATTTGTTTTCATTCCAAATAGAGAAATCGTCTTTTAATAGTCTTTAATCAGAATATTGCACTATATAATTTTCGTCACTCGATTCACTTGCGATTTTACATAAAATAATCTTATAATTAAATTGTTCTACTCTCTCTTATTTCCATTCGTGCATTTGCTCAAGGATTAAAAGTCTCACAATTGTGTACAATTGAATTCATATATGATTGAACATAACGTTATTATACAGATATATAAATTCGACCCTTACCTGGATTTCGATTCCTGCCGTAAATTGACTTTGGAGCCACCGCAAGCCCTTCGTACAAGACTATTATTTAAAAATAAAAAAAAAGATTTATTTACACAGTAAAACATAATACACAGTCTGCGAGAGATATTTCTAAATAAAAGTTTCGAAATTAATAATAATTACTATTACGTGTTAATTAATAACTTCGACATGTTTGAATCAAACGGAGAAGGAAATGCGAAGCCATTACGACCCTTCGCGCGCGATTAGAGTTTTTTCCTGCCATAAATAATAATAAAGGCGTATTCACGCGCGACATTTAAGCATTCAATTAATAATTAATAGTTAACAGCCATTAATATCGACTTATAATTTCCAAATTGGGGAAAGGCTAAAGGGCCATTCGCGATCCTTTATACAAAGTCGCATGATTAAGGCGAGAATATAATCGACTAACTTTAAATAATACATTCATTATCAATAATACCTACTTAACAAATAATTGCTACACTATAATTATTATTTAACAAACTATTATCAATAGTTTCGTACATGAGAAAGGGCCGCAGCATCCTAAATAAATCCGAATAAGGGTGAAATTTTTTCTTAAGAATCTATAAAGCCCGAGAATGAGCTCGATTTTAACGTTACTGCGTTTAGATTGATTGATCACAAAGCGGAGCGTATTTGTTCGCATCATGTCGTTCGTTCCTTCGTGATCGATTGGTCGATCGATCGAACAAGAAGATGTGTCGAAAATAATTCACGCAACATTCATCAATGATCGTGATCTTGCCGAGAATATTGGCACGTGATAATTCGGTTCGGCGGATTCATAGGATTCTGTTAGATCGCGATTAGTTGAAATGTCTTTCTCGATGTCATACTTGTTTGCATACATCTATGATTCTTGACTCTTATGATTCAGTTCCAAAATTTGTAAATTTTTGAATATATCTTTTCTTTTAAATTTAAAGATTTTCTTTGATTTTTTTTACTATTTTTCTGTTGTTTATTAGGCCTGCAATCCATTTGCTGATATTCCTGTATCCCGTGCCAACTTGACCAACACATGGCCCTTGAATCTTCGGCACTAAACATGTCGCACGCCGTCTTCCTTAATAATCTTCGTATCGTAGTTTCATGTTGCGTAATTCTTTTAACAACTTAGAAGTGGCTAAGTGTTGTACAGATGACACTCTATGTACGAGGTCGGCACGAAGCCCTCGATCGGTTGTGAAATACGTCGCACTCTAGTCCACCCATCTCCCTGATCCAATTCGATCATGTACAGCTCTTCACCATCGTACATCGGTATGGAACCCTCGCTGGTTGCTGTAAATAATAATTTAAATTAGTTAACAATTATGAAAAAAAATTAAATAACTTTTTTTTTTCGTTATTTACATGAAACTTTTAATCTAAACATTTTTAATTTTATCTTTATATCAGAGTATCTATTTAATTTTCTAAAATAAATGTTTTATTGTATGCATTTTGTAATGCTTTTTGCTCATATGAAAATAAAGTTATTTAAGTTTTAAGTGCTACAATTTACAAATGTACTGAAAAAACTGAATAACTTTCGAGATAAACAGTTTTATTTTTCCATCATTAAAAATCATAATGAACATATACTTCATATTCAATATTTTGTTAAGACATTGAATATATAAAGATAAATATACATTTATATTTTAAATAATTTGCAACTTAACTGATTGGTTTATCGACTATTTACAAAATTGTTAGAGAGAATTTTTCTTTTATTCTTTTTCAATTCCAAATAAAATTTCATAAGAATTTTTTTATTTTTCCAGGTACAAAATAAATTTTTGAGAATTTCAGATTTTTTATGTTTTTTCAAGAAATAGTTACTCTGTTATGTAATATTATTATAGAAAAAGTAAATGATTAAAATATTTAATCATAGAGTTCGTTCGTAGATTTGGTTCATAGATCTCACCATCGAAAGGATAAAGCGCCCGACATGTCCCTAGTGGCGGCTGAGCATCTACTTCATCATGATAATATTCTTCGCAACCGCTACCGGGTAACGATGTCCTCGATTCGCCAAGACCAGATTCCGGGCTATTCGTGGAACTGTGCATCAGTATCATAAAGCGAAAACCGTAGCTATTCGTCTAGTGTGAAGTGTCTAATCTATTCGAACTAAACATTTCGCGGAATAGAAAAAAAAAACAATGATCGCGATGTCCGATTTGAATAAACGCCAGTGATTGTGCTAAAATGATTGTGATAAAATTCGATAAAATGCGTTCGTCGCATTAATTACGTGATTTAAGTAAAACTATGATTCACGTTGTAACACTTTTGTTATCTATGTTATTTATGTTCATTAATGTTCTGATAAGATAAGAGCGATTAAATAAAAGTTAAAGACATTACGATATTTCTAAAAATGTATTCGTGGACACAAATTATAAAATAAAGATAAAATGGTAATAGGATACATGTGCATGTATATGTACGTGTGTGTGTATGTGTACACAGCACAATAATAAGTAATGATAAAATATCAAATATTTATGATAAAATAGTATAAATAATGATAGGACACTAATTTATGAATTGAAAAATCTGCAGATTTTAAAAGTTCCGAGATTTCCAGAATGTATTAATGATTCTGTGCGTTATCTCGTATATTGCTAAGGCTTACCCATGAGTCGGTTGCGGTGTTCCCGGTGCGCTCTTCTTGTGAGCCGATTGATTTGCGTTTGCGTTACAAACACTAGAATCAGAAGCGGATCTCGAAAGACTCTCTTCTCCACCTGAGTGTGAACTTCTTCGTGAACTCAGCGGTCTTGTTGCTGAACCATTAGTAGCAGTTTTCCGCGGTGCCTGGCTTGGGCTGAAAACACAAATGTCAAATATATATTTTTTTTTCATTTATTTATCTCTTTAATAGTTTTTAGTGGTGATAAAATATTGTAATAAAGCAGAGAGACAATTACATAAAAAAATTTTTATTTGAATATATTACTTTAAGTATATTAAAATTAATCATATGATAGAAATAAGTAACTAGCGAATCGATCATCATTGATACCCTTTGACAATTTGAGGAAAGCTTCATTTACCTAGACAAACTGACGCCAGCGCGCATCGCTTCTTCGAGGTAACCTTGAAACTTTGCCAATTCAGCTCCGAGTTTGTCCAGTTTGTTACTGGATTGATTCAATTGTCCCTCTATGCTCATCGGATCTCCAAGGGCGGGGTTCTGCTCGTACACGCCTTTCATTTTCATAAGACCATCTCTCGCTGCTGTCTCCTGTTGGATCTTCGCCTGGATCTCGTCCAATCGTTGCTGCAATCTCTTCTTCCGCTGATTCGGTGGCAAATCGCTGCAATCCTCCTTCGCACCGTCACCGTAGCCAGGCACATTATTCTGGAATTTCTTATAATAAATGTCGATTCCTTTGAAGAATTATTTAATTATATATAACTTCTTGAGACCCGAAACTTTCTTCGCCAAAGTCAACTTCTTTACAATATTATTAAATTAATTAATACAATAATAACTTAGCGTAAACTTTCTTAAGAAAACCAATGATTTAATCGAAGATACGATTGTAAAATTCATTTTAATTTTAAATTATGTATTAAATTATATAACATTTATAATAATTATTATAACAGAGGAACTCTTTAAATCATTTAAAACCATATTTAATTATAATGTGAGTATATTATACGATCTGGGTCTCAAGAAAGAAGAAAATATAAGAAAGCTTGGGAACACATTTTGTTGCAAGAGCAACGCGTTTCGTTAAAGATTTGCGATTTTGTTAGTGAAAGCTAGCGTATATAAATTTATACGATTGATGAACAACTCCAATATTTAATATCGTTCATTGCTTTAAGCAATAATGGATAAGACGAATAAAATGTATTCTCTGTGTAACAGAAGTAGATAATAATACAATAATTTCTAAAATGGAAATAGCAACGTAATCCTTTTGGTGCTAAAAGATTTAAGGCAATTAGTAAATAATTAAAATTTATAATTGTAATTTTAGAATCTCTCGAAACAATTTTGCGGATTCATAAATTTCTTGATTCTATGGGAATTAAATTCTATAATTCCTAAATTTTATAAAATTCTCAAAACTTCCGACTTTCACAGACATTAATTAAATTAATTATTATTTAATTATTCTATAGATTTGTCAGATGTAAAGATTTTCTCAATTTAATTTTCTACGAAATATGATTAAATCGATGTTTAATACAATTTCTACTCTTATAAAAAACCTATTGTCATCTATTTACTACTATATATAAAGGAAAAAGACGAGCAAGTTGAGCACTTGTAAGCGTTCAGCAAAGCACCAAAAGGATTAATCAGAAAGTGACGTGGCCATTGAATAAAGAAGGACAGACCTTTAAAGCTATGCACACCTCGATCAACTTCTGCTGTTCGCATGAAACAAATCCCAAAAGCGTATCATTCAGCGAATGAGTCAGAATGCACTTTCAGCAGTAGCAGGAGCGTGAACTCAGATTATGTCATTTCGGAAATATTAAATACATAAACAGTATAAGATAGGTATAAGGATACTTTACTTAATAATATATAAAAGAAACTGAGAGAATGACGGATTTATTATCATCATTTCGCATTTAACAAATCTAATTGTAAGTGTCTGTAAAACTGCAGATATGTATTTTAATAATTTTAATATTATATTACTAACTTTATTTTAATATAATAATAATTTAAAATTATTAATTATAAAAATATCAATTTAAAATTATTTTTTTTCTCGTTTTGGCAAATTAAGATCTAACTTGAACACATTACAAATTACTCTATTTATATTTGACTGAATCTCACGAGATTTACAGAAAGTTAAATAATAAATTCTCAAAACATTTTCGAAATTTATATTAAATTCTAATTTAAATTTTTTATTTCAAATGTAATTTAATTTAATTAGACAATAAAAATTTAATTAATCCCAATATTTTTTGTAAGTATTATAATTATAGTCTTATACTGATTAAGATTAATACAATCGCTGAGTTCATGCTCTTTTAACAAGACAATTTAATATCGCATATAATTACTTTTATTTTTAAGAGAAAGAGGTAGGTAAATAATCGATGTTATATACATAATTACGAGCGAACAAGCGATCTACGGAGTACTTACTAAATGCGATAATATCCCAATTCATAGCCCGTGATGATTGGAAACAAGAAGACCACGGGCAGATTGAACCATCCACCAAATTAATAGAAAGTATACAAGAAAAATAAATTACGCGTTTTTCGTTATGTGAAATGAAACGAAAAAATGATTGTAAATTGTAGTTGGAAAGTATTGAATATAATACAAAAATAAGGAAAGATACAATTGAATTCAATTCGTCAGGATATTTTTATATACATTATATATAAAATTTATTAAAAATCTAAAATAACATTTGATTATATATAAATTTAAGCAAATTTGAACAAATATCTCGATTCTAGAATATAAAAATTTACAGGAAATTAAATTTTTTAAACAGAATACAAAAATTTAAAATCAAAACTATAACCATTTATAATAGTCAGATTTTTTGTTTTCTTTTTATATTAGTAGGAAGTGAGGACAAGATGTTTTTTCATCTTAATTGAGCATTAATTATAATTAAAAGTTTATTCTCAAAATTATTTTATCAATAAGTTTATATTATTAGATAGTGATTCGTTTCAATATAGAAGATTTCGACGAAGAGAATTCTATTTTATACAAAGCGCTTAGAAAGTATCAGAAGCGGAACTGCTTTAAATAATAATTTAAAAATTGCTTCGAATAATCATAAATCATAAGTAATGCGCAAAATATATCTGAAAAGTCGCTCGTAAATAACGTTATTATAGCCGATCGGAAGAATGCGGAATCTACTAATATACATGCGCAATAGAAATTTGAGTGCGTAAATCAAGTTGCAAACCTATCGGCGAATAAAGAGAGATGCATCTTATATATACATAAATAAATGAAATCAAATAATAAAAAAATAGACTTCAAAAAGAATTTTCGTGCATGCTATAAAAAATTCTGCAATATTCCCTGTTTATTTTCCTTTCCTTCCCGTAAATGCAATAAATAGATTATATTAGCTCTTCTTTGGAGTCGTGCAAGTTCTAGGCTTCCAAAATTGTAAAAATAATCATAAATTATTTTTTTAAGATACAAGAATAATTTACTAGATGTATAATTATGCAATCTAGTTATGTAATCTATGCAAAAAAAATTATGGAATCACTCAGACTTCACGACTTCAAAATTAAAAAATAATACGCACATAGGGTGTTCGAAAAAATATGCTTATCTTATTAGAAATGTATAATTCAAATGATTAATAATCACAAGTATATAGTTTACCTTGTATTAAAAAGATTAGACGAATCAATCAATCAAGAAAGAGACAATCATTCATCACTGATTATCTTTCTCAGAAATCTCAATAAATTCAAACGTTTCAGTTTGTCTCATTATATTCTTTCAATCATTTCAGGACATCCTATGTCACGAGAACGCTGCACCAACGATACCAGAGAGCTCGCAATGAGGAACATGGAGGGATATCTACCTTATTGCTACTGAAGATTCCAAAAAGACCAACTCTTTTCTTGATCTTGCCGCCGGAAACGGTACCCTTGACCGTAAGATGATTGTGAATCGGCTGCATGACCGGCTGAGCCAATTGGCTGTTGTTATCATAATTCTTGGCAACCGATAGATCTTCGAAGGGGAAATCCCCAGGAGGCTGAAAGCCGCTCTTGTAGCGTTCAATCACCAACATCGTGTCCTCTTTCTCGTTGATCTCATTCGCCGCCTTCTCGATGCCGTCCAGGCACTGAGCGATTATTGGCGCTACCGCCCGTTCGATTTCCACCGACTTCATCATGTAGTTCCGCATATTTTTTATCCTTTTCTCGTCCAACTCCTGCGGCAAAAATGCGATATATATAGGGCGAGAATAAACTGCGAGAAATACGAGAATCAATAAAGGCTAGAACTAGAACATTAGATTGAGTGGTAGAATTGTGATAATTTTTCTCTAAAAAAAAATTAATTCATTAAATTTATATATTAATAAATTTGTAATTAACTTATAAAAATTCAAAATGTTTTAAAATAAAAATCTATTTAAATTTGATTGAGGAAGTTAAACTCTTGCAATTGATTAGCACCCTTGAGAAAAAATATCTAAATAATTTATAATTAAAAATAAAATAATCTTATAATTAAAAATCCATTATTTCCAAATCAAATATATAATTTTTTTTTCGAATTTTTCTTTGACTGCAATAAACAATTCTTAAAACATTCCTTTAGAATAATGAAGATTATTTTTTTAAAATAAAAATAAAAAATATAAATAAAATTAAAGGCTCTCGAAATTAACAAAATAAATTAAAATATTGATAGGCCATAAGGAGCCAAACGCGGATGTAAGGCGTGTTCTTTTTAAATCATTATCCAAGAGAACGATCAAATTAAACGATCAAATTATTTTATTATTTTTTTAAATAATTAATTATTGTGCAAAACACGAACAAAGTATAATAAAGCGTAGCAAAAAACGCGGACGCAATTGCGTACAGTTATGACAAAACAGTACCTGAAGATGCTGAAACACTTCCGGCATCGCCGTGTGGTAGTGTAGCGTCTGCATGTCATTCGTTTTTTGCAGTTGATTCGCGTACTCCGTTTTCGCCTCTTCGCTTTGCTGGGTCTTCATGGTCATATTCATCCTCTGTTTCTCGACCTGAATCATTGCAAAAGAATCGATCATTATCGAACGTATAAAAAATCCTCGTAAATTATTAATATTAAAAAGATTATGTAATATAATTTTATCACATTTTTCTATCATTGAAAAAACGAAATTCAAGATTTCATATATTTTCTCATTATCAAAATTATTATTTTTAATCATCGTATCTAATCCGAAGCTGGAACTCCTCCAAAAATAAAACTATGAGGAAAAACTGTGAAAAAAGATCTTGTGTGAAATGACAGCGAAGCTCATCACGTACCTCTGCTCTGGAGAGATTGAGATCCGCGTCCGCTCGCTGATAATTCTCCACAGCGCGCTCCGCCTCGCGGAAGGCCTTCTCATAGGCCTTTCTAGCCCGCTCCAGATTTCCGATCTGACCGGCTAGGGTGGCCATCAACCGTGCGCCCTCCTGCAGGTGTTTCTTGCGGTCCTCTTTGAAGTCCTTCACTAAAATGTTGAGTTCCCGTAGAACGTTACCCTGGAGATTCTCCGCGATCACCTCCCGCTGACCGGCTTGGTCGTTCACCTCGTTCAGCTCCATCTTGAACGCCCGGCAAGGACTGTACCTGGAGGAAACGCAAGTTCCGTTCTCCTTCTCGTCTTTCTGATTTCGTAGATCTCTCTATACTTATTCTAATTTCGGTTGAATTTTTTAAAATTATTTTATTAAAATCTCTAAGCTCCTTTTTAATTCTCGATACGCGTCGGTTGTTTGTTCCTAACTTTAGCTTACATTTTGTTTGTTTAATAATTTACTTCCTGCCACTTTTTAATCACTAAATTTTCCATTATCGCTTAACATGCCAAGAGATATTCATTTAGCTATTTTACACAATTTGTATTTCATGTATATGTATGCAAACGACTGTCTTAATTATAGATAAACTGAATAGATAACATTGGCTAGTTTTCAACATAATGGTGTTTCCTCATTAATTGAACATAATTGTTGTGCATAGAGAAAAAATAATTCCCGATCTAATACACCAACGCACAGAAAACCGAGAAGCCTAAATCTCTACCCACACGCCGATTAGTATGATATAGCTATAAAGAGACTCGACTGGAGAAGATCTCTCTTGCAATGTTATTGAACTTATAAAGTATCTCACCCACGTCGCCAGATAATCAAGCCCTTATCTTTTATCAGAGTTCGCAGGAAATGAATTGGCAGAAGAAAAACAATTTACAACAAAAATTTATGCAAAATTCGTTTTACTTTACTCTTTCGATATTGCTTCAATTCTTCTCTTATTTAAACCTTGACCTTAATCACGTTCTTAACGCGTGCTTAATTATTTATATGGTGCGCTAAATCAGAAAATTAATTACGGTCCCGCGGAACTCATGGAATTAAGTGTCTGCAAAAGTTTAACATAGAAAATATTCGCGTATACTTTCTTTTGATAAATTTTTGTTTGGATTATATTTAAAAATATGGCAAACCCCCTAAACATTGAAAAAATATCCTATATATATTATACCATAAGAGATGTAATTGAAAATAAATGTCTCCATACTGATTTATGCGTGATTTGAAAGAATTAATTATCTCAGCAAAAGATGTCACCTTTTTTATGGTATAGTATCTGTTTCCATCTATTATCCACAAATGAGGATCTTGATGATCTTAGATAGGTTTATTGCGAGCCGTGTATGTAAACAAAGTATCAAAGAGTAATAAATATATATTCAAATCGCCCACGGCTAATGGATAAATTACACCGGCATTGAATGATCTACATATATGTTTGTTACTCTTGGATGTTTTATACACATATACGGACTCAATGAATCTATTCGAGATCGCTCGGTAACTCGAGAAGAGAGAAAAGAGAGAGTATGCAGCTTCATACTTACTGATAATCCTCCTCCTCTTTCTTCTTCGGTTGATAGCTCTTCACGAGACGTCTGCAATAGAAAAAAAGAGAAATGAGATTATTGTTGCTCTTCTCACGGAGATGGAATGATATCGCGGATTATTGTCGGGAAGCCTTTATATACAATTGGTAGGAACTATTAAATAACTCGGAAATGAATCGACCGGAAGCGGTTTCTATACTACACTGTTTGTTTCTCGTTTACAAGATTTTTTTATTTAGAATTAATTTTTTGTTAAAGAAAATATTGAGCCACCGATAATTTTTAATATAATCTACTGACAATTTACTTTATCTACAAATAACATTTACATTATTTTAATCTCACGTGTTATTTTACATTGGTTCTATATATCAAAATTTTGTTTATTGTGTAAAGTAATCTGATAAATATATGAAAGGATAAATATATAAATATAATTAAATCGTTATTTTTTTAAAATTATATATTTATGATAAGAATATTTTCTACAAAGGATATTCCGAATTTTTTAATCAGATCACAAAAATAATTCTTAATAACAATAATACGCATAACTACAATGAAATATAATAATACGCTTTTGGAGAAACAACTGTCAATTTTATACTTTTCACACGCTTAATTTCTTTTATGAGGAAAGCTGTGTTCGTATATGTATTCAGGAATTTACAAGCAATATAGAGATCGTTCCGACTCATCGAAGTGCACCAACGAGTTAAATTACGAATAGTATGTGCGTCGCAATAATCGAAGAAATATCAGATCGCGAGAGAGCGGAATTATTTTCGATCACGGTGCGAATTAAACGGATCCGGGGGCGTGCCGTTTTAATTTTTACGATACGCCACGTCGGACTATAAATACGCTATCGAGATGAATCTCACGCGGCCTTGATGCAGCGAAGCTGCGTGAAGAAAATTTCAAGGAAAAAAATAAAGAAAACAAAGAACAAAAGACTATGAATGATTTATCTCTTCGCGGATAAAATTGCTTAGAGTAGTTCACGATAAACTTCAATAATTATATTAATTCAGAAACCACGCGATTCGGATAAATAAACCTTTTCGGTCATTGATATTCGTCGTTTTACAGGTTTCATTCAAATATGCAGATAGTTTTCCTAGTGTTGTCTATTAAGGATATTTCCTAGTGTTGTCTATTAAGGATATTGTTCGATGAATTTCTCAAGAATTATTCACACACACACACATGTAATTTTTTTTTTCAAATATTTTATAAGTGCTCGGTTGCGGATATTACGTTATTATACAGAGTAATTTTTCAATTATTTGATGGCCGGATAATTTTTCGTATTATGCGGAGTTGAGAGTAATTTTCTCAGAATAGTTTATTAGAATAGAATAATCTACGTATGCTGACCACGCGATTTTATATGAAAGTGAATCGAGAGATGAGTTAAGGCATGGAAATTGCAACGCATTAAGATGAGAGAAGCGCGCAAGATGATTCATATATAACAGTGAACTCGTTCTGATTAACACGTATTTTAAAAATCAACTTTGATTCTCTCTGAAGAATAATCATATATCTTCTCACATCTTAAACACATAAATTAGTAACTACGAATTTATACAATTACAAATGTAAGTACCCTTTTATAAGACAATATGATTGTATTCTAACATTATTATTTTTAACATTAATATTTATCTTAACAATCTTTTGTTTAAAAGGTCCATCTCAAGTCATGTAATGTAGAGTTAACATATACGCACACATAGTTTTTAGACTTCATTACATAAAGTGCATGTAATCATGATTAATATAACTTCAAAAGAAAAGTAAATAAAAAATACAATTTCGTCTCGATAAATTTATTTAATTTTGTTCCAACAGTATTCTCTCAGTGAATTTTTAATTACAAAATGTGGAATTACTAATGAGAGCTAATATTGCACGCAGAGGAATTTTATTTCGCACGATGTACATCAGACAATCGATGAGGAACTTGCGACGAAATAATTAAGCGCAACGCAAAATGGAGTAATTAAAACTCTGGAATGAACGGATTTCGAGACACCCGATAAACAAAAGTACGCCACAGTGGACGGCATTCACGGAGCGGACAAGGGACCCCTTTAATACAATATTACTACTAGCTATATATCTCGCCTCGTCCCTGAACCCACGGGGTGCGTGAGACACGCTCGTTATACAGGATGTCCCATTGAAATCGTTAGCCTCGGATGTCTCACCCTTTGTCGGGGTATCATGGAAAAAGGAGCAGGACGCACGAACATGAACACATAGATCTACATGACAGGGTACGACGAGGTGTAAGGTGCACGACAGCATCGAGTAAGCCTGCATGCACCTGCTGCCAGTCATATCTCTTCGCTTCAAATTATTCTCAAAATAGGACATTCGTTTTTTTTCTTTTCTTTTCTCTTTTTTAAATTTTTTTTTACTAATATAAAACATAAGTTTCATATTAACAGATAAAACAATTAAATAACAATTAATATTATATATTATGAGTTAGCTTCTCTGAGATAAGAATTTATTTGTGATAAAGAGAGGCTACAAATATAAATTTAAAATTTCTTTTATTTTTCGCAATTTTTTTAACTATTTTGATGAAAGATATTCTAAATTTATCTGTAGTAAAAAATCGTAATTAGATTATTTTAAGTAAATTCAGAGAGAAATGTGTATGTATTGAGACTATATAATTCTTAAGCATAAAATATCTTTATCAATATGAAAGATGAAGTATGTACTCATACTTGCACAGTATATTAACTCTGTTTCATAAGTATTTAGATATCTTCTAATTTTTCATATCTTTTAATTATTCCGTATCCTTAAATAAAGTATTGTATTTCTCACCTGAGTTTCGCTGCATATTCGAATTCAATCGCGCAACGATCGCGTATGAAGTGGCCATATCTTTCGAGAAATTCTATCCCTTTTTGTGTGTGTAGGGACAGATTCTCGAATTGATCCTGAAAGCATAGAGGAAACAATAAAAATCAATATTAAAAATTACTGCAAGATACATTATTTGAAAAAAATATTTAAAATTTATAATATATACATATATTTTTTAACATTTTAAATATCTTAAATATCCATACATTAATTGATGTATGCGAATTATAAAAAATATAATTGAATATGTATCAAAAAATGTAAAATATTTGAAACAAAAATTTAGTTTAAAGAGAAATGATATGAAACATATATTAAGAATTGAATAGTTTTGATCATGAAAGATTTAACACATGTATTATTCTTGCATTATTCATTTCTTATAGAAGTAGCAACTAAAGAATGCAAAACAAGAAGAAAACGTAGGCTGACTTATTTAAATAAGTGAGAAAGTTTGAATAAACTTGTTTTCAAGGACAGAATTATTGCTTCTTGAAATATGTGTTTTGTCTAAAGTGTCGATTTCGCCTGGCAAGGGAGTGAGAATTTTTCTCCGTCAAACGAACAATCCGACCGTATCTATCGCGGTCGACGACTGAGAAAAACCTCTTGGCACACATACGCCCCTCGTTTCCTCTCTTCCTCCTTCTTCTCCATCACTACCGCGGGACAATGAAGAATTTCGCAAGCAACGTGTGCGCGGAAAGATTTCTGAACACCGTTTAACGGCTCGATACGAAAAGTGAAACTGGACATACTATATATTTAGTTATCCCAGACAAAGTATATAAATGAAGTTAGTACGATGATGTATCACACAATTAGAATTGTGTCACTTAATTTCTTATATATTTTAATCATTTATTTATTTTTGCAAATTAAATCTTTATTCACAATTTCTTACAAACTTCTTTCTTTAACACATTTCTTACACATTTCTTACACATTTCTTACACATTTCTTTAACACTATTAATTTGTCGCCTTCCCATCTTTTTTTCATGTTAAAATCATAATTGAAAAATTATATCAATAATAATCGAATAACAAATCAATAGTTTTTGATATAAGATGCGTGAGTGTCGCTTTTATATTTAGAAAATTCAAAAAGTTGGAGAAAAATCAATGGAACGCGTTTAACAGTCACGACACCCAAGTCTCTACTTAAGAAGGAATGCAAGCTTTATCGTTCAAGGACGCTCGTATCTTTCGATATTTATGCTACGATACTGGTTTAAGGACAGATCGAACCGCCATTACAACAGGGAGAGAGAGACGAAAGGGCCTTGGTACATATGACAGGTATTCGAAACGCGTTACTTTCATTTCGAGTGAGCGACCATTCAAGGGCCACGTGGCTTCTTACGGTCGTACATGATCCACGTGTGCGTCCTTCTTTATCTTGTCTCGCGATGTCTCACCTTGCTATCTTGTAACGTGAAGAAAAAGACAAGATCTCGACCGGGATATCTGAGTCACGTGTGCGTGATTTGCGGTTCGATTTATCGCCAAACTATGCGAAAAGAAAGAAGGAAGTTGTGTCGAAGATTTTTCTCTTCGCTCGACCGTGAATAAATTAATAAAAATGATAAATAAAATTGAGACTCTCTCTATAAATGAGATAATGATCTCCGATCTATGCTAGAATAGAATTTTTTATTTTATTTGTGTGCTTAGAGATTGACTCGCTCAATTAAACCTAAGAGAAATTTTGAAGCATTTTATAGGGAGCAATCTCTTTAATTAAGAATCCTAAATGTATGTTCTGATTGAAGTTCTCGATTTTATGGATTCTGTGCAGTCCTTGAATCAATAAAGATTTGTTAACCTTATTCTAGACTCGCAGAATCTAGAATTCACAGATTCACAATCTCTTAATTGGCTTCTTCTGTTTTGTCCTCTTATTCCAGCCTTCAAGAATAAAAAATGTCGATCGAAAAATGACATCTCGATTTGAAAATAAGCAAGTGAATAGAAAACAGGAATAAAAATATAGGAAAAAAGATTAGACAATTCAATGAACTGCTATCGTGGCTTAAATGTAAATTTAATTCGTGTTTCACACATTTTATTCGCTCGAGATTTATGCGATGAATTCGCATCATACTCGCGAATCGCAATCGCACGACGAAATCATTCGTGCGTCTCTACGTTTCGGATCGGAACAACTTTCTCATTGTGATAACTGTATAACTTGGCTCGTGGCTCGACGAGTAATTTGCAATGAAATAACGGAGAACTGGTAGCGCAGGTGATAGTCGACGAACCGCGGCTTTCGAACGCACACGTGTGCGTACGAGCGACGACGGGCAATCACCGATCGGTTTGCTTGCTCTTTTGCCGTCGATACACCCGGTATCTCGGCACGGATTATTAGATTCCGTTTTTCCTTCGGATATTTCCCTCGCGAATACCGATAACACCGTTGATTGCAGAGCATATCGCATATTTGAGACAAACAAGGGATTACTCAACGAATTTGTATACAACATGTGAGTCAACAGCATACTAAAATACCCTTTTATCTGCAGATATGAAAAAGTTGTGATACAATCAATGGAAATTAAATCAATAACTTTGAGAAATTTCTTTTTATTAGATTGTAATTTGTTTTTAATTTTAGATTCTTTTTAGATTTTGTAGATTTTAAAAAATCATATAATTATACACGCACTTATACCGTTGCAAATTTATCCTATGATTAGTGTTAGTTATATCTTATAAGAAGAAGAAATATATAAGTAATATCATAGTTAATTCATCGTTAAAAAATATAAGTTTAATAATTCGGAAAAAAAATTTTTTGGAAATCGTATTAATTATGTTCGCCCATTGGAACCATCTGAATAGCTCTCTCTTTCTACAAATCTTTTTTATAACTTTAAATCCAAAAAAGATATTGAAATGTTCTATTTCGTATATATTAACATATATATATATATATTTTCATATATTTCTTCTATGTGAGAGGTTAAGTTAAGTTAGGTGTATTTCTATATTCGAAATATATTTAATGTTCAAAAATAATTTGTAAACATTTTCAAACTTTTAAAAAGATCATTACAATATATTCTTATTATTTTATTAAAGTATATTGAATATTCACTCTTGGAATATTTTTATACATAATTCAATCATTCCCTTATAACTCCCTTATAATTTAATCGATTCTTCAAATATTTGTGCATCAATAAACGATGCGATCACTTTTGCATGTCTATAACATCGAAATCTGACACTATTGATATTATGGCGATTTCAACCCCTGACATAAAATAATTGTGTTTGGATAATATCGTGCGAATGCCCTATGTATGATGACGTCGACGGTCATTATTCACCGGATGACGGCGACATCATCGTCGCTTCCAAGTAGAGTCGATCACGCTGAACGATTCGATGAAGAAACAAATTAAATTATACTCCATCATGACGAATCGATTTCCGCGCAGGGTGTTCGTGAATCCAAGGCTCTGGAGAACCTCTGTCGACCAACCCTGCGCTTCGTTTATGTCACAGGTCGATACATGGGAAACGCACCAACGAGCCATGACTCATCGCGGTGCGACCTTCTCCAAAAAAGTGCGTTAGCAAAAAAACGACCAAGATCGAACAATTCATCACGGAATTCAGTTATGGAATAACGTGGATAAAAAAATTCAATAAAATAGATATTCAAAAAATAATTATATTATAGCATTCCATTCGTTTTCCTAATTTTCTAGAACGATATATTTCAGCACTAATAATATGTAACAATCGAAATATCATAGAGTAAAAAGTAATTAAAAAAAATAAGGTAGAAATTTGGGGGAAAAAAAATTAACCTAAAAACTATCGCAATTTTTTTGCACTATATTATAAAAATTTCAAAAATGTTCAAATTTTATATCTTTTTTATATTATTCTTATTTTCTTATATTTTTTATTTAACAAACAATCGTATAAAACTCAAATATCTTTTAAAAATTTAAAGATATAGAAATATAAGTCTAATAATCTCAAGCGCACTTGGAAAAATTTATTCTCTTCAGAAAGTAATTCCTTCATTTTGCTCCCTTTCTCCGAGATTTTCTTCTCCTCAGACTCATTGTCAGACTCTTCTCTTTTTCTCAGATTCTGGCACGGTCGCGTCTCTAGTAGAAACGGATTATAGGAAAGGAAGGAGGAAAGGTTTATGGAGACGATCGATAAGAATGCAGCATGCTCTGGAGCCAAAGCGAATATAAAACTATATCGTAAAAATAGTAAAAAAAACTAAGTTAAAAAACTAAGTTAAAAAACTAAGAATCACATGAAGCAAACTACTATAGACTCGAACAAGTATACATTATGAGTCATGGAATAACGGCGGGGGTGGCTCCCATACTCTCCACCCTATTGATCTCACATTTCTGTATACCGTACGCAACTCGAAAGAGACGGAAGAAGAGACGGAGAAAATAAAGCAAGATAGTTGAAAAATGAAATATTGGAAAAGAAACAAGAAATATTTAAAAAAAAGAAAGAAGAGAAGATAAATTAAAAGAGCGAAGAAAAAAAAATAAGAAAATAAATATTAGAAAAAAATATTGTAAATATATTATACGTTAAGATGATGTAAACGTTCTAAGAATATCAAAAGATAAAGTAATTAACTTTCTTCAATAAAAAGTTTCAACTTTTAATTTGTTCAATTACCTATTTTTTAAATGTCAAAATTTAAAGTTTTATATAAATGAATTATTTTATAAGTAAACAATTCACTGAAAATTACTGAAAAATGTGAATCTAGTATTCGATTTTAAGGAGAAAATTCTTCAATTCTTTTCTACATTTTATCACTTTTCAATTTTTTCATCAAACAAGATGTTAAATTGTTAATTTTTAAAAGTTATATGGTACATAAAAAAATCCGATACTTATAGGAAGCTACATCCTCATTATTTCAATAAAATGCTAAATATCCGTTATTATTAACAAACATTACGACCTAATTTTTTGACTCTCTAGTATAAATAGTTAAAAGTTGAGACCGTAAAATCGATTTCGAATAATTGTGAGCTATAACCGTGAAAGTAATATACAGTACTAGA